GAGTCATCTGTGACATAAATAGGACTGCCTCCAGGTAATGCTGCACATACAGGACAAATCACTTCTGCATGTTCCATAGAGCCCATTTTCCCACAATAGAAACAGGTAAGGCTGTGGCTGCTCTATAGAGAAAGCTTCCCCACCATAGTACAAACCAAAACCTACCTTTGTTAGTATGGACCGCATTGGGTGGTCTGTTGTGTTCATTGTTATTACACCACTTTCATAGCAAGACACAAAGATTGTCATTGTAGCAAATTAAACACATATCTGCAGCCTTGAAAATTTCCTTTTAAACATGTATCACAGCTGACACCTTCATGTTGGGACATGCTATTCAGACGGTGGCAGTGTGGCCTCTCCCCAGTTGAGCTCCCAAAGAATTTGAGAGCAAGGTCAAATGAGTTGCATACATTTGCCTGGCATAACCTGGAGTTTCAGCCCTGAATGGACTTGTAATAAAGCCCTGTTCTGATCAAGTATATCCGTAGTCAAGCAGCATTCTGGCACATGGCCTGAAGGTAATGGGGCCAGCTGGCACTCTTCTTGTGGCTTAAATACCGTGTTGGACCACACAGGTACCTTTTTATCTCAGGCTATTAATCTTAGAAGTTCAATTTTTAATCTTAGAAACTGGAAACTCTTTTGGTAGAGCAGGAAAGTGGAAAATTAATTCTTACTAATGCAATGAAAAGATTGCCAGGAATAACTAGAGTATAGGTAATTCAGTTTGCTTTTCCAAGTCAGTAAACCTGGTAGTAGTGAACCCCTATCCAGGCATGTATCCTCTTCAACTCCTAAAACACAGATTTAACCTAATCATCATTCAAATGCCTGCGGTATATAGATAATAATCCATATAATTGCTCTCAAAATACCACTTTTCTGTTGGTGTAACAATTGTTATGCTTTAGTTCTTTCAAGACACGTTTCATTTGGCTAACATGGTTTTTTCAGAATTGTGGAATAGCATCATCAGCTATCCTATCATTGCTGTGGTGGCCATTAATTTAATGGCTATTTGAGTACCATCAGTATTCTGCGACACAGGTGAGGTACTGTCTCCCTTAGCAAAGTTGTTTGGCCAAGAGTTTCTATGTGAAGTCACTTACCTTTGTGGTTGCCTTAGGGCTTTCTTCCAGGCTTTTCTCCCTCCCGGTTAGAACATGCTTGGACTTAGCCAGACATGCTAACAATCACGTACTCACCCATGTATTTAATAAATGGTAATAAAATCCTCCTGTTGTGCCACGTGTCTCTGCCTCTGTGTGTAGACCCAGCATTATCTAATGACTAGAGGCCTGGTGCACGAAATTTGTGCGCGGGCATGGTCACTAGGCCTGCCTGAGACCAGGGCCACTTTCCCCGGATGCCTGCAGCCGACCCTGCCCCCCACTGCCACCCACCCCCAGTTCCCCATTTGCCATCAGGTGATTGGTGCCTGACTGCCAGGGGAAGGGACCAAGAGGTCGGCTGTTCTTACCTGCTCACCAGCCCCACCCCCGCCGCAGGTTGCTGTCTGTGTGTGAGGCGACTGGCGGGGCGGGGGCCTTGGCCTGGCGCTGTCTGTATCCCCCGCCACCTAACCCTGATTCCCCATTCGCCATCAGGCAATCGGAGCCTGCCGGCCAGGGAAAGAGACGGAGAGGTGGTCAGTGCCCCTCATAGTGACTGCTCCAGGGGTTGTTCTGGTCATTCCACTGTTAGGGTCAATTTGCATATTACCCTTTTATTATATAAGATAGAGACCTGGTGCACAAGTGGGAGCCAGCTGGCCTGCCCTGAAGGGGGCCCCAGATTGGGGTGGGGGTCCCTGCCGGGGGGCAGGGAGGGCCTGGGTGAGGGGCCACGCCCCCAATTGGGGTGGGGGGCTCTACTGGAGGGAAGGGCCAGCCTGGGCGAGGGGCCGGCAGTTCTGATCTCCGGTCGTTCTGGTCATTATGCTGTTTCTGTCGCTGGGCTTTTATTATATAGGATGCTGCTTATAACTCTGTAATGCATCAACAAATCATTCATATATAACACACACTACTACAAAAGCATGTGATAGTTATCAATTCATTAAAACAGACAAAACAAGCCTAGGTGCCTACTATGTGCTAAAGGTGTTTAACTTGCCAAGGTCAGGGGGAGCTCTTTTAGAAGTGACAGTTAAGCTGAAACCTTAGAGGGGAGTCAGCTTATCTAAGGGTATTGAAAAGACTCCCAGACCAAGGAACGGCATGGTCCAGAGAAGACTAGTGTGGCAAGAAGCCATGGGGGATACAAGATGAGACTGAAACAGAACCAGGCACTTCCAGACCTTGTGGGTCATGTTGAAGATTTATCCTATGTCCTCAGAGCAGAAAGAAGCCATTGAAATGCTCCAGCCAAAAGCCATCTTTACATAGCCTGTGAACTAGGTCTCACTTAGGCAGCTGAGCTCTTACTCAGACGTGTTGATTTCTAAATAGAAATTGTTAAGCTTTTAAAGTTTTGTTATATTTAGAGAGATGCTTCTCTAACTGTAGTGTGTTTAAAATTACCTGGAGGACTTGTTAAAACAGATTTTTGGGTCCCATTCCCAGATATACTGTAAGTCTGGATGGTGTTCAGGAATTTGAATATCTTTTTTTCCCCCTAATTTAAATTATTTATTCTTTAAAGTATTACAGATGTTTCCTTTTTCCCCCATTGGCCTCTCCCTGGCCATTCCCAGCTCCCCTCCCCCAGAATATACCCTCACCCCCCTACTGTCTGTGTCTATGGGTTATGCTTATATGCATGAGTACAAGTCTTTTGGTTGATCTCTTACCCGCCCCCCCTCCTGCCTACCCTCTGAGGTTGGATGGTCTGTTTGATGCATTCTATGTCTCTTGATCTATTTGTGTTCATCAGTTTATGTTGTTCATTATATTCCACAAATGAATGAGATCATGTGATATATATCTTTCTCCGGCTGGCTTATTTCACTTAGCGTAATGCTCTCTAGGTCCATCCATGCCGTTGCAATTGGTAAGAATTCTTTCTTTTTTACCACAGTATTCCATTGTGTAGATGTACCACAGTTTTTCAATCCACTCATCTGCTGATGGGGACTTAGGCTGTTTCCAAATCTTAGCTATAGTAAATAATGCTGATATGAACATAGGGGTGCATATATCCTTCCTGATGGGTTTTTCTGATTTCTTGGAATATATTCCTAGAAGTGGTATTACTGGGTCAAATGGAAGTTCCATTTTTACTTTTTTGATGAAATCCCATACTGTTTTCCTTAGTGGCTGCACCAGTCAGCATTCCCATCAGCAGTGCACGAGGATTCATACAGTCATAGTAGGGTTCTTTAATACTTCATTGACACCACTGTATAAACCCTCTAAACAAAAAATCAGCAAAGAAACAGCAATCCTAAACGACTCATTAGATCATATAGAATTAATTGACATCTTGAGAACATTTCACCACAAAGCTGCAGAATATACATTCTTCTCAAGTGCACACGGGACATTTCCAAAGATAGAACACATATTGGGACACAGGCAGAAGATAGAAATCATATCAAGCATCTTCTCAGATCACAATGGCATAAAATTAGAAATCAACTACAATTAAAACAGTGAAAAAAATCAAACACTTGGAGGCTAAATAGCATGCTATTAAGTAATGACTGGATTACCAAAGAGATCAAAGAAGATATAAAAAGCATCCTGGAAACAAATGACAATGAAAACACAACAATCCAAAATCTATGGGACACAGTTAAAACAGTCTTGAGAGGGAAGTTCATAGCTCTACAGGCCTACCTCAAAAAAACAAGAAAAACTGGTAATAAATTATCTAATCCTACAACTCAAAGAATTAAAAAGGGAGCAACAAGAAAAACCCAGAGCAAGTAGAAGGAAGGAAATAATAAATATCAGAGCATAAATAAATGACATAGAGAAAAAAAAAACACACACACACAAAAAATACAAAAGATCAATAAAATCAAGAGCTGGTTCTTTGAACGGATAAACAAGAGTGATGAACCTCTAGCCAGGCTTACCAAGAAACAGAGAGAGGACCCAAATAAATAAAATCAGAAATGAAAGAGGCTAAATAACAACAGATCCCACAGAAATACAAAGGATTGTAAAAAAATACTATGAACAGCTCTACTCCAACAAACTCGACAACCTAGAAGAAATGGGCATATTTCTAGAAAAATACAATCTTCCAAAACTCAATCAGGAAGAATAAAAAACATGAATAGGCCAATAACTACCTATGAAATTGAAGCAGTAATCAAAAACCTTCCAACAAATAAAAGCCCTGGTCTGGACGGCTTCACAGTGGAGTTTTACTAAATGCTTAAAGAAGAACTAAAACCTATCCTCCTTAGGCTATTCCAAAAAATTCCAGAGGAAGGCACACTTCCATGCTCTTTGTATGAATTTCTAATAAGTTCCTGGAAAATGCTGATGCTGCTGGTCCTGCCATGGACCAGATTTGAGTTGCAGTTATTCAGAATTAACTCACCTCTCTTTTGTCATCATTTTCCTGTTGTAACCAGCAAAGGATCATGTTTAGTCACACAATAACTAAAATAGTGGGTTTTTTTTTTGGGGGGGGGGGTTACATTTTATAGAAGCCGTTTAAAGGCTATAAATTATACTTATCTATGTACCTTTCATATACAGGGTGAGTTAAAAGTGGGCTTACATTGTTTGTACGGAAAATAATACAAGAATAAACTCTGTTTCACCTACTTGCAACTATAATCCTACTTTTGCCCCACCCTTTATATATGTGATTGAGGTGATGTAGTAAACAGCATTGGGGATGCATAGCCCAGAAATCAAGATACTTAAAACAGAAAGAAATCTTGATTAACAAAAATTTGTAAAATGTTATTAGTACCACTTTGACAGCTGTTGAGAATTTTGAAATTTAGAACAATATGATTTGGGATTTGGAAACAGTGTTTCAGCAAGAGTGAATCTATGTATTACTGAATGCTTTTTTTATTTTTGCTTTTCTAGATCTAATTACTTGTTTAGACACTGCATCCAGCTTTTTGGAACCTGAGTTCAGGTATGACCATATTTGTGCCCTTTTTTCCCCCCTTAAATTTACCATTATCAACTTCATCCTCATTCTTTATACACTTAAGATTAATATACATTGTGACATAGACGTTGTTCTAAGACCTCACTCAATAAACCAGAGTTTATTTAAAGCCATTGAGTTACCATGTTTAAGTTTTTCATTAATTGTAGCATTTGGATCCTCTCCACAATGAAAATGTAATTGTAATATACTTTCAAAGTAAAACTAGTTGCTCTTCAAAATCTGGCAAAACTACTAAGTAGAAGAGTTATCTATATATATAAAAGCCTCAGTGACCGTTATGTCCGAATGACCGGTCAACCAGTTGCTATGGAACGCACTGACAACCAGGGGGCAGAGGCTCAACCCAGGCTGCTCCCTGGTGGTCAGTGCGTTCCCACAGCCAACTTCCCCAGTCCCTCCCCCGGCTGGCAAACCCTTCTGTGGTCCCACCCATGCACAAATTCATGCACCAGGCCTATAGTCCTATATAATAAAAGGGTAATATGCACATTGACCATAACAGTGGAATGACTAGTCACTATGATGCGCACTGACCACAAGGGGGCAAATGCTCAATGCAGGAGCTGCCCCCTGGTGTTCAGTGTGCTTCCACAGGAGGAGCGCCACTCAGCCAGAAGCTGGCTCTTGGCTGGCCAGCACAGTGGCGGTGGCAGGAGCCTCTCCTGCCTCTGCAGCAGCGCTAAGACATTAGTCAGACATTGCTCAAGGACTCCCAGGCTGCCAGAGGGATGTCTGACTGACGGCTTAGGCCCAATCTCCCAGGGAGTGGGCCTAAGCCATCAGTCAGATATCCCCTGAGGGGTCCTGAACTGCGAGAGGGTGCAGGCTGGGCTGAGGGAGCCCCCCCTCCTCCCCAAAGGACCGGGCCTTTAGTCTTCTATAAAAGGACAAGAAAATGGTTTAGGCTATTATGGAATTTCAGTGTTCTTACCCAAGTAGCATTTCTGTACAATTTCCGTGCTTTATGCCCTCATCCCATGCTTTGACTAGAATGAACCTCTAATTGATTTTTCCTTTCATTTCTAACCTTTGCTGGCATTATGCTGCTATTGAGGTTGCTGCCAAGCTATTTTTTTTTTTTAATTTTTATTGCTTAAAGTATTACAAAGGGTATTACATATGTGTCCATTTTATCCCCCCGCCCTAGACAGTCCCCTAGCCTCCCCTATCCCCCAATGTCTTATGTCCACTGGTTATGCTTATATGCATGCATACAAGTCCTTTAGTTGATCTCTTACCCCCCTACCTCCTGCCCCGCAACCCTCCCCAGCCTTCCTGCTGCAGTTTGACAATCTGTTTGAGGCAGCTCTGCCTCTGTATCCCAAGCTATTTTTTAAAGTACATATCTCATCATTCTCCAGCTTACAAATCTCCAGGTGCTCCTAATTAAGACAAAAGTTATCCAGATTCCTTAGCTTGGTGTTCAGGATCCTGGCCCAGGGTCTTGGCCATTTTTCTAATCTTGTCTCATGCATTCATGTTGAAATAGCTGTGGACCACTTACACTGCTCTGAACTCTCAGAACTTTGGCCTGGGATCCCTTTACTCCTCTCTACTTGGCAAAGTCATTCTCATCTTCTGAAACCATCTCACTAACCTCCCTGCAACTCACTACCTCTTCACAAAGAACCTTTGCTTTGTCTTCAGAAATGGTTCTGTCTCTATGGGATGGGTCGCTCTTCAGCACTTGTGGGGGACCCTGGTCTGCAGAGTTAGCTCTGGCATCAGTGTAAGGCACACAGCCTGGTAGAGGGTGCGCTGTCTTGTGCCCTCCACTCTCTAGCTTCGTTGTCACTGCCCAAATGCGAGCTGCCATCCTCTCTCGCCTGGACTACTGCACTGTCTGCCTAACTGTCCCAGCGTCCACTCATGGTTCCTTCCTAGTGGCCACAGTACTCTCTTAAAGATATGAACCAGATTGTGTACAGATACTGTCGAAAGCCTTTACTAACGTTCTGTTTTTACTTAGAATTGTATTCCAGACTCCTCACCATAGCCCACAAGGCCTCTGCATGATCTGGCCCCTGCCCCCACTTTAGCCTCCTCTCACACTAACTCCCTTGCTGACTGCAGTTCACCTGCACTGGTCATCCTCAGTTCCCCGCACACAGTTCCATGCCTCAAGGGCATGCAGTGCCTTTTGATGGGGATGCGTTACACTTCTTCAGAGCCCATTCCCCGACGCCCTGACCCAGGCAGTGCAGAGCCTGTTGTGAGCAGACCCTGGAGGTATCTGCCACTTACCAGCCATGTCACCCAACAGTTCCTCAGTGTCCTCATCTGTAAAATGAGGATAATAATAGTACCTACCACATAGGGTTCTTACGTGGATTACTGGAAGCACTTAGAATGCTGTCTAGCACTTAGTAAGTCTATTCAAAATGTGTATTACTTTTATTAAGTTAGATTCCTCCCAGTTACTTCATAGAGTTCCTCTTCTTCATAACCGAATCATAATCTAATTAACTATCTGTGTGTCAGTTTAATGTCTTCCCCACCACTGGAAGGTAAACACATTGAGGACAGGAGCCATGTTTGTTTGGTTGACATTTGTAAACCCTGTGTGTCAGCACAGCCCAGTACTTAGACATTCAAGTAAATGTGTTGAGTGCATAGGTGGGTGAGTGAGTGCGTGAATGTATGAGTGAATGAAAGCATACAAAACATTTTTTAAGACCAACATAAATTTGATCGATAGGGGATGGGTAAAATAAATATGGTTTATCCACAAAATAGAATATCATGTAGCTATTAAATATGGTGAATAGATTTTACAATAGAAATATGTCTGTATTCATTATGAAATGAAATGATCAGAGCTGTTTGTAAATAAGAGACAATTGTAAATTTGTGGGTAAAGATGTGTGTGGGCAGATCGGAGAAAGTCTGAAAGGGCTTTTTAGGAGTGCTGGTTCTCAGAGTGGTGAGATGATGATAATGATATTCACATTGAACTGAAAATGGTTATGTGATGCTTTTGGTCTTTTCCCAAAAAAAAACCACAGTAGTATATGCCCTTTAACTTGTTTTTATTTCATAGTAAGTACTGCCCAGCTGGTTGTCTGCTTCCTTTTGCTGAGATATCTGGTACAGTCCCTCATGGATATAGAGATGTAAGTTGCCTGTAGACTATGTTAAAGTTGTGATAGGACTTTATGTTTTTAAATTTCAGAATAGGTAAATGTGTACCTATTGTATATCTTTGTTGTGATGTTTTTCTAAGGAATTGTTTGTTTTTGGAAATATGTAATGTTTTATTATTTTTCTTCTAAAAAAATGTGTGTTATGGCATCAATAATCTGTCCCATGTTTATTGAGAAAACTGCCCAGATAAACTAATTTCTTGAGGAAGTGTAAGTCTTATTTATGAATTATCAAAAGAAAAGAAAAAAACTGACTTTTTTTTCCCCTTTCTCAAGTCCTCGCCATTGTGCATGGCTGGTGTGCATGCAGGAGTGGTGTCAAACACCCTGGGTGGCCAGATCAGTGTTGTAATTAGTAAAGGTATCCCGTACTATGAAAGTTCTTTGGCTAACAACGTCACGTCTGTGGTGTAAGTATACATGCTGTTTATAATAAGCAGGCTGGGCAGGGGCGGGATGGGGACTGGTAAGGCCTCAGCAATGTAACAGTTAGTGGTGTTCAGGAAATACCATTTGTGCACTTAGCTCTTACATTTTTGTGTGCTCAGTGTCTGCATGTACTGAGGAGGACAGGCAAGGTTGTACTACTGGCTTGTTCTCTGTCCAAAGGTAGTCATTTGCAAGCTTGATTGGTTTGTTTCTTCTTTTCAAAGTGTTAAAAAAGCGGAGAATAAGAGTCTAGAAGTATTTTGTTGAATCCATACTTGATATAAAAGACCAGAACACATAACTACTGTGTTCCTTATAGCCTGTGTGACCCAGGATGAACTGAGAATAATTGAAACACTTTGATGTGAATTAAATTTTGACATTAATCAGAAGTGGTAGTATTATGAATCTCCCTCTCATCCTCAGAGAATATATTCAGAATGTATTTTCATGGTTCCCATGACATTCCACTATTTTACAAAACTTAGACTAGGCATAAATAAGCAGAAGTTCAGACATTAGATAGAAATGCAGTACTCCTCATCTGTGTCTATGAATCTTGCCTCTTGGGAATGCTCAGTTCTACACACAGTACTGAGTCTGTCTGAAACCAGCTTCTCTTCAGAGGCCCTGGGCCAGTTTCCATGCAGAAGACAGGAGTGGACCACACCCTCAGCTGTAGAAAGCAGGAGTCAGCAGATTTTTTTCTGTAAAGGACCAGCTAGCAAATATTTTAGGCCTTTCTGGGGCACATGGCTCTGTCACTTTTCCCTTTTTTGTTTCATTTACAACCCTCTAACCATGTAAAAATGATGCTTTGCTCGCGGGCCACACAGAACAAGCCATGCCAGGGCTATATACCCATCACTAGTATGCAGTCAGCTTCCTTTCCTTCTTTTGGTTTCTTCTAGATGCTTTTATGAAGATTCTTTCTTTCCCATGGTCTGTCTTTGGACAGAGTTTTTTATGAATTCTCTTTCTCATCTATACTAATAAAAGGGTAATATGCTAATTAGACCAGATTGACCAGAAATCTTCTGGACGTCCGACTTCCAGACAGTTAGGGGGCGATCAGGCCAGCAGGGGGGAAATCAGAGGGCAATCAGGCCGTCAGGGGACCAGTTAGGGGGCAACCAGGCCAGCAGGGGGCATTTAGGGGGCAACCAGGCCAGCAGGGGACCAGTTAGGGGGCAACCAGGCCAGCAGGGTACCAGTTAGGGGGCGATCAGGTCGGCAAGCAGAGGCAGTTAGGGGTGATCAAGCAGGCAGGCAGGCAAGCGGTTAGGAGCCAGCAGTCCTGGACTGAGAGAGGGATGTCCAACTGCCGGTTTAGGCCCCATCCTGCAGGAATCCTGGATTGGAGAGGGTGCAGGCCGGGCTTAGGGACCCCACCTTCCTTTGCACGAATTTCATGCACTGGGGCTCTAGTACTTAAATAAGGACAAGTTGCATCCACTTGTAATGACCTGGATGTTGTGCTCAGGGCAGGAGCCCCAATCTTTGAAATTGAAGTGCAGTACTGCCCTGCAACACTATAACTTGTTCTAGATATGCTGATTCCCTGTAACAAATGCAGTCTCTCTCAGCAATAGCCTGTTTACCCCAGGAAATTGGAACCTCCTTGTCTGAGACTTACCCCTTTCAGTGCACCTTCACCAGAAGCAGTTGCCATAGGAAAGGCTTAGGAGTCTATTTCATGAAAAGAGATAAAAGAGAAATATATACTCAAATATATACTCAAGATAAAAGAGAAATGTGTTACGAGAACACATTTGCACAGTCATATGAAACTAGATACTTGTAGAGACATTTATGCTGATGTCAGAAGTTCTGCTTAGAAAATAGACTTTTAATTTTAACTAGGAGTTTATGAATTGTCTAATATATAGCCAGAGAATACTCTTAGTTCTTTATACATTAAACACAAAAAGGTTTACTAAGACAAATATGGGGAACTCATGTGTTATGTGATATGTCACAAAAAAAATACTTTCTCTCTTTCAGGGGACACTTATCTACAAGTCTTTTCACATTCAAGACGAGTGGTAAGCCTTTCATGGACTTTATAACTTACTATAATTTTTATAACACTGGATGTCAGACATTGTGCTAGTTGCTGTTTGTTGTACTTTCTTATTTAGTTGCCACAATAACACCTATGAGGTTTTAAGGGCATTTAATAAAATAATGAATGAAATAAGTGAAGTTCTATGTTAATAGGAAAATGATCATGGAAGCAAGGAATTTTTTTCTAGGAAAGGTGATTTTTGAACTTGTTTGAAGAAGTAATTCATTCATTTGACTGAAAATATTTGAGTGCCTTCCTTTATTCGTCAGGGACTCTTCTGGTCTAGGAAGACAACAGTGAGCATAATCAACAAAATTTTGCTTTCCTGGAGCTTACGTTCTGGTAGCGAGAGATGGACAATAAATAGTGAATAAGTCAGTTATTATTTATGAATTGTTTATAATATTATAAAATATGTAGAAAATGAAGGAGGAAGGCTAGCCAATGCAGGAGGTACTGATGGGATCAGGACAAGCCTCAGGGAGAATGGAACATTTGAGCAAACACCTGAAGGAGTGTGAGTCACCCATTGACCTGGGAGCTTGTCTGGGGAGAGGGTAATATATCACCATTAAACTAATGATTGCTCATAAATAAATACACACAGTTCCTGACAAGACACAAAACACAGACCCAAAAAACATGTGCCTAGTTTTGAAATTTTTCTATTACAGTGTAGTATTTGCTTTAGTGTGTACAGGTACAATAGAAAGTTTGCAGTGAGCAAGTTTTTATAGATTTTAAGTTTATAGCTGGAAATAGTGACTTTCTTTTTTGTTTCAGGTTGTTATGGAACTCTGGGCATGGAGTCTGGTGTGATTGCCGATCCTCAGATAACAGCTTCATCTGTGCTGGAGTGGACGGACCACACAGGGCAGGAGAACAGCTGGAGACCCGAAAAGGCCAGGCTGAAGAAACCGGGGCCTCCCTGGGCTGCTTTTGCCACTGATGAGTATCAGTGGTTACAAATAGATCTCAACAAGGAAAAGAAGATAACAGGTTAAGAGTTGTAATTTTTTAGAAAAATTTATGATTTTTCTTTTTTTAGAACAGCTTATGATTTTATTTTAAAACCTGGTGACATCTAAGATTTTTATAGAAACTTAAGTCACTGCAAATTTAATTATGTGGTTTTAATTTTTTTTTACTGGTGTTAGTACTACTAAAGATGGTTTTATAAAAAGCGTGACAGAGGAGAGGAGTTGGTATTTGAGTCTTATTAGCTTTTCTTATTGTAATAAGATTCTTTTAAGGTAGTGTTTCAGTAAAGGGACCTGGAGACATCTGAAATAGCCATCTATTATAGTCATTAAAAGAAATTTATGTTCAAAGAGTGTACTCTCAGTGCTATAAATAATATTCCACATGTGCTGAGTATGAATTTAATTATTTAGAGCAATTTAGCAAGTGATCAGCATAATTGGTTGGGATTGGTTTTGTTAAAGATTTATTTTGCTTTGGTACCGAAAATAATAGTAATCATCTTTAATCTGTTCATTCCTAGGAAGTCATTTTTACTCCATAGGTGCAATATATTTTACAATGATATGAACACGGGCTGCTAAAATAGAATGTTTCTTTCCTTATGTGTGCTCATAATTCTCCCAGTCTCTACAAGGGAACAAAGCCCAGGATTTTGGTACTATTTAATGAAACCTTGCACTTAGATGTGGTAATGTGTTATGGGCAAAGATGTTTGAACAGTGTTTATGTTTCAGTGGTGAACAAACTTCAAAGACCAGACCATGTGCATTAATGAAAGCAACTCTCCATTCCTCAGGCATTGTGACCACTGGCTCCACCATGGTGGAGCATAACTACTATGTGTCAGCCTACCGAATTCTATACAGTGATGATGGGCAGAGGTGGACTGTGTACAGAGAGCCTGGTGTGGAGCAGGATAAGGTAAAATGATTAACAAGGTATTTTTAAAAACATTTTTTTAAATGAACCTTAGCCAAAAGTCACAGGAGCTCCTGTGTGGGCTAAAAGTTAAATATCGTTTGATCTTACTCTGCCCTCTTCTGGTCATTTTAGTATGGTTAGGAAATTCGCAGTGGTTCTAGATCACTTTTGATGATTGTGAGGGTTAAATAATTTATTGATTCTTTTTTTTCACTACATTTTAATTCAATTTTTAGATACCTTATTAGGAAATTCTAAAAGGGAACTTATAATTTCTTGTCTTTAAAAAGCTTTTCATTTCAATACACAGGATGTTGGAAAAGCCTAATTTGTTTCCAGATTTCTACTGTGGTACATAAATTAATAAACATGACAGTGCTGAAACGTGGTAGACCAGCTGAAGGGGTTGAGAAGGGTTGAGAGTAGGCACAGGTGGCTCCCATCTAAATGTTTATCACTTTCACCTGGCTCCTGGCCCTTGCTCCACCACAAGGATCTTGTAATTACAAGAGTCCATGTCCCGCCGAAACCGGTTTGGCTCAGTGGATAGAGCGTCGGCCTGCAAACTGAAAGGTCCCAGGTTCGATTCCGGTCAAGGGTATGTACCTGGGTTGCGGGCATATCCCCAGTAGGAGATGTGTAGGAGGCAGCTGATCGATGTTTCTCTCTCATCGATGTTTCTAACTCTCTATCTCTCTCCCTTCCTCTCTGTAAAAAATCAATAAAATATATTAAAAAAAAAAAAAGAGTCCATGTCCCAGGTGAAGGTAGAGTCCTCCCATCAAGAATTGATAGATGAGCACATATTTTTAACGAGTTTTGATAGTTACACGATATTATCAGTTCTCTGTGAGTTTTGTTTTAGTTACATGATACTATCAGTTCTCTATCAGAAATATGATACTAGAGGCCCAGTGCACAAAATTCATGCATGGGTGGGGTCCCTAGGCCTGGCCAGTGATCAGGACCTACTGGGGCTGTCTTGCCCAGTCCCAATTGGGTCTGGGCTGGCTGGGGCCTCCTGCCGCCTGCCAGACAGGGCCTGCTGGGGTGGGGGGGCGCAGGAGGTTTGCAGGACAGGGGAGGCACCGGGGGAGGTTGGCTGGCCGTGGGAGCTTGGCTGTGGGAGTGCACTGACCACCAGGAGGCAGCTCCTGTGTTGAGCGTCTGCCCCCTGGTGGTCAGTGCACATCATAGCTACTGGTCTTAATGGTCATTTAGGCTTTTATATATAGAGATATTAATATATCTTCATTTACCACTTTTCTCATCTGTTCAAAAACTGCAGGGGCTTCTATAGTCTTTCATATGAATCTAAACTCTTTTGCTGTTATTCAAGGCCTTCTTTCCTCTCTCCTACTTGGTATCACATGAACTTCATATTTGATGAGCCTCAGCCCATTGAAGCAAATAACAATATTGTCTCCATTTCTATCTTCTAATGCCCCCAAACTTGACTACCTTTTATTCTTAGCACATCCACATTTATTTGTATAATATTTATATTTATGAAGTATAGTGAATTTTTTGAAATTGTAAAAATTGTCCATATTTATATTATAAAAACACCTAAGAACATTGAATTATATTTCTGAAAAAGATTTTTTTTATTTCATTTTGAAAGATAGTTTCACTGAGTTGAGAATTCTAGGTTGACAGTTTCTGGTTTCAATAGTTTAATTATGCTTACATTGTTTTCTGGTTTGCACTGTTTGAGCGAGAATTCTGCTACTTTCTTAATCATTATTGCTCAATATGTAATGTGTCTTTTTTTTCCCCTTGGCTACTTTTAAGATTTTCTTTTTATCGTTTGTTTCAAGTTACTTGATTATGATGTGCTTTATGTAGTTGTCTTATTGTTTCTTCTTCTTGGGCTTTGAGCTTCTTGGATCTGTGGGTTATAATTTGCATCAAATTTGGAAAATTGTAGGCCTTTTTTTTTTTACCCAAATATGTCTCCTCTTCAGTTCTAATTACATGAATATTATGACTTCTGAAGATGTCTTACAGTTCACTGATGCTATTCATTGTTTTCATCTTTTGTGTTCTAGCTTTAAAAATTTCTACTGTTTTGTGTTCAAATTTAGTAATCTAGTCTAGAATGTCTGATATGCTATTAACCCTGTCCTGTGTGTTTATCTTCAGTATTGTATTTTCACCTCTGGATTTTCTGGTGGGGTCTTTACATTTTCTCCCATGTCTTTCACTAACATGCTCATGCTTTCTCCATTACCTCTGAAATATGTGGAGTATATAATAACTCAATGCCCTTGTCTACTAATTCTATCTACTAATATGTCCTAGATCTTTTTATGTTGATTGATTTATGGGTCATATTTTACATGTCTGATAACTTTTGACTGGTAAACTATATTTGCATTGTAGAAATTGTAAACTTCATTGTTTGGTGTTAGATTTCATTTTGTATTATTCCTTTAATTTTGTTTAAACTTCACTCTGGGACACAGATTACTTGAAAATCTTTATCTTTTCAAAGCTTGCATTTTTGCTTTATTACGTAGGACTTAAGCAGCCTTTTCTAATTTTTCCCTACTACTGAGGAAATAGTGTTCTAAATATTCAGTCCAACATCCCATGTGTTTCTTCACTCTGGCTGTTGGCAGTGTGAGCTGTTCCCAGCTCTCTGTGGCTCTTGGAATTGTTCTACTGGCTCCTCTCTGGTGGTTTTTCACCTGTCCTGAGACAGTTTCTTCATATACAGCTGAAGATTTAAAGGGAATCTTCCTACAGATCTCTGAAGTCTTTCTGCAGTCTTCTTCCCTCCTATACTGTACCCTGCAAATTCTGGCTGCCTTAGCCTCTCATCTCTGAGTTCTGTCTCCTTGATTCAGTGAAACACCAGGCTTTCTCTAAGCAATATTGGGACAGGAGAAGGGCTCACCTCATTTGTTTCCCTTTTCTTAGGGATTATCTCCCTATGCTGCCTGTTGTCCAGTGTCTGAAAACCATTTTTATTTGATTTCATATATTTTATTTGATTTCTCAGAAATGGAAAGCAAAAGGTTAAATCCAATCATGGATAGAAATGGAAGTCCTGGCATGGAACTATACGAAATAAGTCTTTTAACTAACTTATGTTAGCCCATCAGCTCCATCAAGGATAATTGGTGTATTCATCTTTACACCCTTTCAAAGCATGCAGATGTGCATGAGCACATACATGCAGATTGAGAGAGTTTTGAGTTTTGTTTTGAAATGGGAATGTGTGTACAACTTGTTTTTATAATATGTTGCTTTTAATAGTATGCCATATTTGTGTGTGCTAACAACCAATAAATTTAAGTTTCCTGAGAATGGAGACTTTGACTTCCATTTTCATTTTTGCCTCATGACACCTTGCAAACCTCCCTCTACATAGGAATTTATAATAGATGTTCATAGGTTAACTATAGTAAATCTTTTTTAAAAAATTGATTTCAGAGAAGAAGAGAGAGGGAGAGAGATAGAAATATCAATAAGAGAGAGTCATTGATCAGCTACTTCCTGCATGCTGCCCACCTGGGACCAAGCCCCCAACCCAGGCATGTGGCTTGATCAGGAATTGAACCATGACTTACTAGTTCATAGGTCAGTGCTCAACCACTGAGCCATGCTGACCAGACTATAGCAAATCTATTTTACTTCGGTTTTGTTTTTGTTTTTGGTGTGTTTTTGTGGGGTTTGTTTTTTGTTTTTTTAGGGAGAGTGGAAAGTGGAAGAGAAAGGGAAAGACAGAGAGAAACATCGATGTGAGAGAAACACAACAATTGGTTGCTTCCTACACAAGCCCTGACCAGGGCATGGGCCAGGAGGAGCCTGCAACCGAGGTATGTGCCCTTGACTGGAATCGAACCCAGGACCCCTTGGTCCGCTGGCCAACACTCTATCCACTGTTATCCACTGTGCCAAACCAACTAGGGCTTACTTAGTTTTTATAAAATCTGTTTCCTTTAAATTTTTTTTTTAGAGTGAGACTGCAGTATGGAGTAAAATTTCAGGGATGTAGTTTTTATGTTTATTTATTATTTGTTCCACTAATTCAATAAACTGTAAATAATATTGCCTTTATTTTATTTCAAAGTATATTTGAGGAAATAATGGAAGCTTACTAGTGTGGAGATTATTGTAATTTCAAAATAAACCTCTTAGAAAATGAAGGATATTAATACATCCTAGAAATTTGCAATCTAATGTCATGTGAATCAGCCAGGAAAAAAATAGCTATAATATTTGGAAATGGCTTGATTGAGGAAGTAAACATTTACTTGCTCTTACCTTAACTAGTAAAAACAAACCACTTTGATTTTAGGCAGGTGCTCACTTATTGATGGTCTTTAGAAACTATCGATGATTTGGCCTGAAGGAACAGGAGGGCTCTTTTTTGCTTAGTAGAGCCCTGAGCATAAATCAGAAGACGCAGATTCAAGTCACTGCTCTATCACTGACTGGCCGCGGCATCCCATTCTGAGCTTCAGTTTCCTGGGTTCTGTCTGATCACAGGGTTGTCATGAAGAGCAACTGAGTTAATCTTATGAAATGCTTTGTAATTAAGAGCTTTTCCAGTGTAAGGTACTGTCATTTGCTTGAATAGTTGAGGGAATGAGATATTACTTTAAAATTATATTTTTACCTAAGGGGTATATAATGCATTTGTTACTGTTTGGTGATGATCGTTAAATTAGGCAAGTAACTGTCAATTTTCTGGCTCAAAGAGCAACAAGAAAACAGAATATGGGAACTGTGTTTATGTAGTTTATCCACTAGGTGGAGGTGTATATCTGTTGTGTTAGTATATGCTCACTTTCAGTCTATTTATTGGGAGAAAAATTATGAAAAGTTCACAGTAAAGCATTTCCTCTAAGATCTCATATGTTCAGTTAGGCTTTATTTGGAAAATAAAGTCAACATATTTAAACAAATATGGAATGGTTGGTAATTCCATTGGACTGGAGTTACTAATTATTAATAACAATTTACCATATTATTACAGTTGAAGCTCTCGTCTCAGATTGCCAAGTTAGCATTCTTGTTATGTTTGCATCATCTTAAAATCATTTTTATATTTCATAGTGGGGTTTTTTTAATAAATTTTTGATGAAAAATGTGAAGCTTCTTAAAATAGAGACAGACTCTAGATAGAGAGCAGGCAGACAGTTCCGAGGAGTATGGAGGGGGGTGGAGGGGAATCAAGCAAAGAAGGGAGAGAGCTCATTGACACAACCAACAGTGTGGTGATTGGGTAGGGGGGATGGGAGAAGGTGGAAGAGGGCACAGAGGGGGTAAATGGTGATGGGAAAAATTATTTTTTTTTAAAGAAAGAATGTGCAACATCTTAATAGTTTTCAAAATTGTGATTCATTTATTTTCTTAAAAATTAATTCTTATTGTCATACTTTGCAGATCTCATTTAAGGCCCAAAACAAAAACATGTTTCAGTGGAGCAATTTAGCCCTGGCCTCTGTTGATGTAAAGTACCAATTTTTTGTTGTTTTTTAAAGATATTTCAAGGAAACAAAGATTATCACCAGGATGTGCGTAATAACTTTTTGCCACCAATTATTGCACGTTTTATTAGAGTGAATCCTACCCAATGGCAGCAGAAAATTGCCATGAAAGTGGAGCTGCTGGGATGCCAGTTTATTCTTAAAGGTAAAGCCACAGTATATTTCAGACATGCTATTTTCACTGGATTAATTAAAAATGCTAATTAACTGCTGTTCTCAGAGAAGGTAGTTAATAACAATGTGTCTAACCTCTAAATGATATTATCTTCTTAAAGGAATTTTTAAAAAGAAACAGTTATCATCTTAAAAAGTTAGACATCAAAGTTATTTTCAAAATTACAAGTTGGATAGAGGGCATCATTCATGAGATGATATAATGAGATTGCTTTCCAAATCTATTCTCAATCTTAATTTTTTTTCTCTCAATCTTAATTTTTAATCAGGCCTCATGTAATATAATATTCATATCACATAAACACTAATGATTGATTATACTAGTAACTTCAGTCTAAGTGACTTTTACTTTGAATAAATTAAAAGTGGGAGTAACTTCCTTCAATATTATATAATGTTTTAATACTTTGTTTACTATTGTAGCTCTAAGAACTACCACCGTGCCTAACACATAGGGGTCCCTCCATAAATATTTCTCAAATGAATTGATGGGTAGTCTATCAAAATGCAATTAAATTTTTATAGCTTTAGAGTTCAACGTTATTTGCCTCCCCATTATTTTCCTTCTTAAGAAGATTACTCTCAGCTTATTTAAAAACTGAGAAATCCCAGTATATATGTGCTTTTAACACAGAATATATTTATCCTTCTGACATATTTCTCTGAGATTTAAAATTACTGTGCAGTATTAAGTATTCTAGGAAATGGTAAAGACATTTAAATTACTATTTTTAACTATGGTTTTTATAAGCAAAGCATGTAAACTTTTCTAAACCATTTTTCAAGGTCGTCCTCCAAAACTTACTCAACCTCCATCTCCTCGGAACAGCAATGACCTCAAAAACACTACAGCCCCTCCAAAAATAGCCAAAGGTATGCCTCATTTGAACGTGAAATGTTCATATTCCCTGGGTTTATGATATAATTTTCCATAAATATGTTAAAAAGCATCCTAAAATAACAGTTTTAATCAAGTTGATGTAGATAAAAGAATAAAGTTTTTAAATCTTTTTTTAAAGGTCGTGGCCCCAAATTTACTCAACCACTACAACCTCGAAGTCGCAATGAATTTCCTGCACAGACAGAACAAACAACTGCCACTCCTGATATAAAAAACACTACCGTAACTCCAGATGTCACCAAAGGTGGGTGAACCCAACATTCACACCTGTTATGTAGTCGTGTTTTACTGTTTGCAACTTAAGTTTTCAAGAACATGTCTAGCTTTTAAACCTTTTCCTCAGACTTGTGTTTTTTAAGTATAGCAAAAAGATTGATTCCCTTCCTTGGGGAAAAAACTGACTGCTTTGCTCAAAGTTCTATTCTCTCGAGCCATGTAGAATTGTCTTTAAATATTTACAGATGGCTGCTGTATTCTAGGCCTCCTCTTGCAATTTTTGTCCCTATACAGCAAAACACATGGAGTCTCGTGCCTAGAAATATTTCTAAAAATAACTAAAAGCCTAGCAGAAAACCTTTTTTTCTTTTAAGTATATTTTATTGATTTTTTACAGAGAGCAAGGGAGAGGGTAGAGAGTTAGAAACATCGATGAGAGAGAAACATTGATCAGCTGCCTTCTGCACACCCCCTACTGGGGATGTGCCCGCAACCAAAGTACATGCCCTTGACCGGAATCGAACCTGGGACCCTTCAGTCCTCAGGTCAATGCTCTATCCACTGAGCCAAACAGGTTAGGGCCCTTTTTTTCTTTATTATATATTAACTAGTGTCCCGGTGCACAAAATTAGTGCACATTAAAAGGGAATTAATTAGAAGCAATATTTTAATATTGCTATTTGCCCTTTGCCGGGGGGGGGCATATTATGCTATTATTAGATTTGGGAACTTTTTGGTGAAACTTTCGGTTAAGGTTAGGGTAATACTTTTTAAAAATACTCTGATTTAACATTCATAAAAAAGTGGTCTCTGTTCTTAAAATGTTTGCTATTATAATTTTTCAGATTATAAATATAGATGTATTAGTAGAATTTACTTTCAAATTTTATTAATGATAAGTAAGGTATTGACATATACAAAGCATAGTAGCTCTTTGATTTTATAGGTTGTCAAGAAACAAAATTTCAGTTGAATGCAGAAAACAAAGCCTCGGTGTTCTAGCGGAATTAGTTTCAGTGTTGGCAGACAAATAAAGCACACTTATTTTCAAGACAGCAGAGAAGAGAAAGCAATTCATCCAGAGTAACTTTTGCCATATAGAACTTGAATCATTCTCATTTTCTGAAAATTTCTCTGGATTCATATAACTTTCTCCAACTTTCCAAGTGTCAGTTTCTTTCCTATCTTCCAAACAAATCTAGAGGAAAGCAAGAATTCTCAGAGTCAGGAGATCTTAGCATCCACAGAGTGCTTCTTACAGCTTGCAGAAGGCATGCAAGAATCTCAGGCGACATGCCTGGAGGAAGGAACAGTCATTTTTATTGTTCAAAATCTTATTATAGAACCTTAAAATCTCAAACTAAGTGTCCTTAAAGCATTATCTTCCAGAACTAGGATCCCTGTAAGACTAAAAAGAATAACGAAGAATGTGCAGGTTTTTTTAATTGAAGAGCTCTTGTCTCCTTTTCTCTGGAACAGTGATATATAGACCCAAATCTAAGCAAGTGGTTTAGAGCCTCTGATTAAACCTCATTCTTCTCCGATTTCACAAAATTTAGAAATAAAAAAGCATATTTACTTTCTGAAGGTTTAATGCTGTCTAACCTGACAGGATTTGTTTTATGCACGCCTTCTCCATTTTCACATTCAGGCTGCAAGTGATGATGGAGGAAAGCAGGTCATAGTCAGGTTTGTGCCACAATAGCTTCCGGCTCCTCCTCCACAGGGCCTCAGCGCCAACCGGTAGCCTTTCTGTTTTCCATGTTACCTCTTCTGACTGTTCTCAACAGTTGCCTCCATATTTTTAAACCTGTGACCCAAAAATATTCACTTACTCCCAGTAACCTCTTCAACTTCACAAAGAAAGTAGAAGCCATTAGAAGGAAGCACCCTTTCTGTGGAACCTACAAACTCACCTGTACCTCTGTCCACTTCAGTAAAAAAGAAGGGATTCCTCACACTACCCAAGACTGGTCACTTCACCTATGCCCTAGCCCCATCCATCCAGCTTCTCAGAGGCTCCCTGTTATTGATCATCCTCTCCCTGTCCTGTTATCCTCAGCCTCTTTCTGTCTTGGATACAATTATAAATGCATAAGGTGTGGCACAGTGTCTGACCCTCAGCCCCCAGTGGACATCAGCAGCTGTGCCATCCTCATGGCCAGGAGGGGTTGTCAGTTGAAGGAAGAAACTAATGTTGCAAATGACTTTAGGCAGCCCATTTTCTGGATCTGGGCCCAGGATTCTTTATCTGTGGAGTGAGAAAAGGGGATTAAATGAGCTCCTCCTCCCTGTAGGATCCAGTACTGTGTCAGTTCCTGCCCTGTTGATACACACATTGGGTTTCTATACTTAACTCAACGTTGTCACCTTTCTGTATCTATATTGTGCCCCGGTGCTGCAACATTTCCATTTGTTGGGAATATTTTCCTGTAAGGATGTACTTACTCCTTTTCACTGTTGGGTATTTGGATTATTTCCAGAAACAACCTTCTTTAAAGACACATCCTTCAATGTCATCTTTATTTTTTCCTAAGAATAAATTCTAGATGTGGAATTGCTAAGTAATCATTGTTTATACATATTGCCCCAAAATGATACAGAAAGTATTATTTTATATTCCCATAAAAATACCTTTTTCCCAATATTCTCTTCAACAATAAGTTATTTTTAAGTAATTGTCAATTTGATAAGCAGAAATACGATCTTATTCTTGATTTAACTTCCATTTTTCTGATTACTAGTGAGGCTAACATGAATGGTCACTTGTTCTTTTAAATGTATTGTTCATTCATCCCCGCCAACTTTTCTATTCTTTGATTTTGACTTGTATATCCTGTCACATTTTAATTATAGTAACCCTTTATCGCATGCAGAACATATTGTCTCAATTTATCATTTGTCTTTCAATCATCGTCTTGGTGATTTAAGAAGTTACTATGGCCTGGCCAGTGTGGCTCAGAGGTTGAACATTGACCCATGAACCAAGAGGTTAAAGGTTTGATTACCTCTCAGGGCACATGCCCAGATTGCAGGCTCAGTTCCCAGTAGGGGCAGGCAGCTGATCAATGTTCTGCTCTCACATCCAGATTTTTCTTTCTCCCTCTCCCTTCCTATCTCTATAAAAATCAAGTTACTATGAAATTTTTAAAACATAATATAAAGGTGGATCAAATAATGTGATAAACTTTCACGCACCCATGAAAGCTCCTGAGGTTACCTACTCATGCCTAGTCTCATTTCATAAATAATGTTTATAGTATTTCTTGAGGTAGAAACCTTTGAATGCTGATATGGTTCATTCTCACTGTTGCCAGTCATAATTTCTGCTTTTGGCCTATTTCAGATGTAGCCTTGGCCGCAGTGCTTGTCCCTGTGCTGGTCATGGTCCTCACCACTCTCATTCTCATATTAGTGTGTACTTGGCATTGGAGAAACAGGTTAGTATATAAGCAGTTCACCTAATTGGTCCTAGAAGGGGGTGTTTTCAAATGAGAAATAGAAACTAAATACAGAAGATGAACTATAATTTATCTTTTAGAGAGAGAGAGTTAAGACAGTCATTAAAATAAAAATACATGTTTCTTCCATATTCCCATAAAAAATGAGTATGTTCAGTTACAGTCAGTTACTGAGTACCCTTATTGTATCAAGTTTTGCAATGCACACTGGAATGTATAGATTAATAAGAAAAATGTCTAACACATAGAAGGTGCTTAGTAATATTTACTGAAAGAATGAAACATAATTACTATCTTCAAGGTATTAGCAAGGATTGACTGGCACAAAATGAGGAACTATAATGCAGTTTGATGAGTTACTTATGAATTGCCGGAGGACACAAATGCAAGGACCATGAGAGTTTTCTGAAATCCTTAAGATTAGCATGTTTTAGTGAAAAGAAAGACTTGGATTTGGCTAGATTGTGGAAGATAGAGAACGCCCAGACTGAGAGAACTGCTTTAGCAAGGGCACGAAGATGTGGGATGTGGGCAGTATAGCGAGTCATCACTCGGGTTGGCCTGGGAGAGCACTGAGAAAGAACCTAGAAGTGCAGCCTGGACCAGGATCAGCGAGAGAGAAATCTGGATTGCATTCTCTAGATGGGGAAATCATTGGAGTGTATTAAGCAGATGATTAGACAAAGATAGTGGCAGTTGTTTTGCAGAGTGGATTGAAGGGGAGAGCCTAAAAGAGGCAGAAAGATGAAGTAGGAAACTGCTGAGGCCTGGCAGGAACATAGCAATTTTAGAAAAAGGAGACATGAGAGGGAGAGATGTCCCAGTGGCATTGATGGGATGCATGACGGGCTGTCATGGTGAGGAAGTAGGAGGGATCTAGGATGATCTGAAGTTTCTGGCTCGTGTAATTAGATCAGTAGGGATTCCATGAGATGAGGTAATAGCAGGAGGGCAGGTTTGGTGGAGCAAGGGAATGACTTCTTTTGTTCCGTCAGTCAATATTTGAGTTTCCACCCTGTGCCAAGTATTGAGCCTTGTGGTAGGAGGTCAGTGCTGAACGCCAAAGTTTACACAATGGGAGAGGATACAGTGCAGAAAACTTGCAGCTATGGTACCAACATGGATCCCAGTGGATCCCAGATTCATGGTGTTGGGGAGGTTGTCTGAACAGAGACCCAGTAAATTAGTATGAGAGCAGTAGGGAAAGGAGGAGGGGAAAGGCCTTTAGGGACATAGGAAAGGAAATTCATGTTGCTTTCATGGAACTGGACAGCAACAGTAGTAATGATGAGAATAGCAGCAACAGCTAATTTTATAGAAAATTAAATTATTTTAAGCATTACTCTAAATCAGTGGTTCTCAACCTTGGCTGCACATTAGAATCACCTGGGAATCTTTTTAAAATCCTGATTTCTGGGCCTCATCCTCCGGAAATTCTGTTTCTTTGTTATGGGATGGAGCCACAACATTAGTAACAAAGAAACAGAATTTCCGGAGGATGAGGCCCAGAAATCAGAATTTTAAAAAGATTCCCAGGTGATTCCAATGTGCAGCCAAAGTTGAGAACCACTGCTCTAAATGCTTTACGTTTTTTAACCAAACCTTAAGACATCCTATCAAAAGGGTACTGTTATAAATCCCACTTTACAGAAGAAGAAAGTGAGAAGGGAGCATAAATAACTTGCCCAGCTTCACCAGACCGGCACATGGCAGAGCGGAGTTTTGGATCTGGCTGCAGAGCCCACCCTCCTAACCACTGTGGCCTCTGAACGTACCATCAATAAAGTCTAATCCTCTGTGGTCAGAGCACGGCTCTGAGGGAGTGAGGATGGAAGAGTAGAATCGTTGAGAGGAAGCAAGTCTTGAATCAGTTTGGGATGGTGTTTATAGAATCCTGTGGACATTCAGACTCCCAAGAGGCAGATGATATACACATCTGTTCAGGACCAAAGGTCTGAGCTGCAGAACTGAAGTCACTTCTAAGCGTGGTCATTGAAATTGCTGACGACCAGCTTCACGGCAAGGAGTAAAGGCAGAGATGCTATTAAAGGGCTGTGGAAAATAGTGAGGAGGAAAGTAATAAAAACAGATGCAATTTATTGAAACCTTAACCCGTGCCAAGCACTGTCGTAGCACTTGACATGTAATGAATAAATAACCTGAAGCTTTGTCACTTGAGAGTCTACAAAGTCTTATAGTACAGCCCTTGGTAATAATTATAACATTCAATTAATTGTCCTAGCTGTACAGAGTTTCTAACTTTCATTTAGGAAAGGTTATTGATTTCCTTTTATTTAGAATTCTTATGGTAGAGGATTTTCAAGGAGAAACAACTAATTATTGAGAAGTTTTTAATATCAATAATAAAAATATAATCTAATACTGGAGAAGAATGTTTCCAAGTAGGAAGTGCATGTTGATGTAGCTTGGGCTCTTTGATACAGCACCATTTGTGACCTTGAGCAATCACATAACCACCTTGTCCTCTTATATGCACTAGAACATGTCTACTTTCTCTCTAGCTTGCAAAGCATTACATTAATTAGATTTACATGCTTGAATCAATAACTGTCCTTTATAAAAGGCTCTTGGTAGATAGTAATTCTTAGCTGAGGGATGAGAGACTTCTCCTGGGGAGGATATGTCAGTGTTCTGAGGGTGGACTGGGCAGAGTCTTCTCGGTTGTACCCGTGGCTCTCACCTCCCAGGCCTGGAGAAGCCTTTTCTTCCCTCGGCCATTTGTCACTTTGTGCCAGAGTTGACTTATCCTGGGACAGTAGGGGGAATTCAGTCTATACAATGAAGGGTATAGACTCTTGGAACTTCTCTGAGACAAAGGACCATAGAAGAAACGGAGAAAATTGGAAATATAACAATGCAGGAGAAAATGTTGGATTTTTTTTTTTTTTTATTGTTGTTCCGTGAAGTTTGTACTTAAAACCAAATCAAACCTGACATGATTTCCCATAAAAGCCCACATGTCATGTCTGGGTCTTTGATTTAATTCAGTCTTTTTATCTACAGACTGGACTTTTTTTATTTCTATATTCATTTTGAAACATTTGAGTAGCCAGATAACTGTCCCAGGAGGCAGTTAATGTTTATTGAGAATCCAGAATTTATGAGCCTCGACAAAGTCAAATGAAATAGAGGCCTCCCTTGGGTAGATCAGCAAGTGGGAATGTGTACTCTTGACTAATTATTAACTGTGGTGTTTATCCTGCAGTTTCAGAGCTGTCTTACTAGTGAAATCATTCTATTTGCTAACTTTCTTTTCCTGTATTTTTCCAGAAAGAAAAAAACTGAAGGCACCTATGATTTACCTTACTGGGACCGGGCAGGTAACTCATGACTTTACATCTTTTTCCGTCAGCGGGAAGTCCCTCCCCTCCAGATGGCAGCAGGGAAAGGAGTGTTTTCAGGCCCACTGAAATTTCCCAGCACTGTTAGGAAGCTGGCATCCCTTCTCTCTTCTGATCATTTTTACTTCCTGTCAGATCTCTTCTAGTCAATAAGTAATGAAATGGAAAGGAATTATTTTTCTCCTGGAAAATTTTCATCTGGAGGAGTCCAGCTTTCTTTGAGGCCTATGTGAACACTGTAAGAGGCAGAGGGTTTTGGTCCTAGTAAAAGTATGTGTTTGTCACTCTGCTCTGGGTATTTAAGTGGGGTCCAGCAGTTTAGGAATCCTGAAGTCTGCCATGTCTGCTGTGATAAGTTGCCATCTTCTGAATTCCAACTCTGTATGGTAGGTGGCATATTGCTGCAAGTTACACCAGGAGTCCCCTATGGGTCCCCCACTTCCCTGTCTCACTACCAGAACAGCTGCTAGGAGCCAAAAGGGTTCACCACTGTGACCAGGGTAGACAAGAGCAGTGGTGGGAGCTAATCAGGTGCTGCTAGGGTAGATCTTGGAAAGTATTTAAAAAAAAAAAATTTAAACCACCCCTACCAAACTATATTTGACCAGTGATCTGCTTCTGTATATGCTTTTGATAGAGATTCCTACCATATTCTGCTTTACACTATATATCCTATCAAAGCAAAAAATAATCTTGAAAAACTTAAGGAATTAGAAAAAGAAGAACAAACTAAACCCAAAGCTACCATAAGAAAGGAAATAATAAAGATTAGAGCAGAGATAAAGAAAATAGAGAATAGAAAGACAATAGAGAAAAATCAATGAAATAAAAAGTTGATTCTTTTAGAATATCAACAAAAGTTACAAACCTTTAGCTAGATCAGCCGTGGGCAAACTACGGCCCGTGGGCCGGATCCGGCCCGTTTGAAATGAATAAAACTAAAAAAAAAAAGACTTTACCCTTTTATGTAATGATGTTTACTTTGAATTTATATTAGTTCACACAAACACTCCATCCATGCTTTTGTTCTGGCCCTCTGGTCCAGTTTAAGAACCCATTGTGGCCCTCGAGTCAAAAAGTTTGCCCACCCCTGAGCTAGATGGACTTAGAAAAAAGGAGAGAAGATTGAAATTACTAAAATCAGAAATGAAACTGGGGACATTATCAATTCTATGAAAATACAAAGGATTATTAATACTATGAACAATTGTACACCAAAAAATTGAATAACCTAGATGAAATGGATAAATTCTTAGAGACATAAAACTTGCTAAGACTAAATCATGAAGAAATAGAAAATCTGAATAGACCTTTAACTAGTAAAGGGATTAAGTTAGTAATAAATGCATTCAGCAAAGTGATAGGATACAAAGTCAACACAAAAATCAGTTGCATTTCTATACACGAATAATCAATAATCTGAACAGGAAATTATAAAAACAATTCCATAGCATCAAAAAGAGTAAAATACTTAGGAATTAACTTAACCAAGAACGTAAAAGACTTACACCATGAAAACATTGCTAAAAGAAATTTTAAAAGGCAGAAAAGGAAACATCCTCCGTTCAGGGGGTAGAAGACTTAATATTGTTAATATTTAGTACTACCCAAAGCAATTTACAGATTCATTAGGAATCTCCATCAAAATCTCAGTGATATTTTTTGCAGAAATAGAAAAATCCATCCTAAAATTCAGGGACATCTGATAGACAAAATAGTCTTGGAAAAGAACAAAACTGGAAGACTCACACTTCCTGATTTCAAAACTTAATTACAAGGCAATCAGAATAGTGTGGTATAGGCATAAAGAGAGACATAATAGACCAATGGAATAGAATAGAAAACCAAGAAATAAGGCCTTACAAATATGGACAAATGATTTTGACAAGGGTGTACAAACCATTCATTGGAGAAAGGAGACAGTCTTTTTAACAAATGGTGCTGGGAAAACTGGATATCCACATGCAAAAGAATGAAGTTGCACCCTAAATAACACCATTTACTAAAGTCAACTCAAAATGGATCAAGGACCAAAACATTAGACCTAAAAACAATAACATTCTTATTAGAAGAAAACCTAAGACAAAAGCTTCATGACATTGGATTTGGCAGTGATTTCTTTGATATGACACACAATGCCCAGATAAAAGAAAAACTAGACAAATTGAACTTCATGAAAAATTTTAAATTTTGTGCATCAAAAGGCACTATCCACAGAGTAAAAAGGCAAACCATAGTATGGGAGAAAACATTTGCAAATCATATATCTGATGAGGAATTAATATTTAGAATATGTAGGATATTTATAAAACTCCACAACATATAAACAACTTGATTCAAAAATGGGCAAAGGACTTGAATGTGCATTTTTCCAAAGAATATCTACAGTTGGCCAATAAGCACGTGAAATGATGCTCAACATCACTAATCTTTAGGGAAATGAAAATCAAAACTACGGTGAGCTATCACCTCACACCCATTAAGAAGGTGCCTATCAAAAAAACAAGTGTTGGTGAAGAGGTGGAGAAATTGGAACCCTTGTGCACTGTTGGCTGAAATGTTACAGCTGCTGTGGAAAACAATATGGTAGTTCCTCAAAATATTAACAATGGAATTACCATATGATTCAGCAGTTCCACTTATGGGTATATACCCAAATAATTAAAAGCAGGGTCTTGAAGAAATATTTCTACACCCATATTCATTAGCAGTGTTATTCACAACAGTTAAAATGTAAAAACATCGACTGATGAATGGATCTGTAACATATATACATGCAGTGGAATATTATTCATCCTTAAAAAGGAAATTCTGTATTATGCTACAACATGGATGAACCTTAAAGACCTTATGCTAAGAGAAATAAGCCAGTCACACACACAAAAAAAACAAATACTGTATGATTCCACTCATGTGTGGTACTTATAATAGTTAAAATCCTCAACAGGGGAAGTAGAATGGTGGTTGCCAGTATCCAAGAGTGGGGAGACTTAGGGAGTTACTGTTTTATAGGTATGGAGTTCCAGTTGTACAAGATACAGAGATGGATGGTGGTAATGTTTGCACTACAGTGTGAATGTATTTAATAACACTGAGCTATATACTTAAAAGTGGTGAAGGTGACAAATTTTATGTTTTTTATATTTTACCACAATAAAAAAAAAGACGCTTGAACATAAAGGCTAGTTTGTATAGATATTTATTTGTTATAGACATGTTAAATACAATAGGATTTCTGTTAATATACTGTTACGATTTTAGAAACAGGTTTTTCTTTAATGGTCTCTTTTGCTTACCGCTACAATGAAGGTTGGTGGAAAGGAATGAAGCAGTTTCTCCCGGCCAAATCCGTGGAGCACGAGGAAACCCCCGTTCGCTACAGCAGCAGTGAAGTCAATCACCTGAGTGCGAGAGAGGTCACCACAATGCTGCAGACGGACTCTGCAGGTAACTCCTGGAGCCTTCAGCCCCAGGCAGAGGGAGGAGCTGCTCTGCTTGCTGTGAGGCGCTTTGGGATTTACAATGTCTTTTATCTTTTTCATGTGTGAGAGATGAGCTGTTTTCCAAAGTAGACCACTTCCTTAAAGATTACCTTGAGAGAGTCATTTCTGTGCCTCAGATGTTCTATCTGTAAAGCTGAGCCATTCATTTCTAAAAACTATGGGCATTTTTCGTCTCTTTAACTGGAAATCTATTTGGTTTTATTGAGTATATAAGAGTATTAAAAGAAGAGCAGGAGGGAATCAAATGTGTAATGTTTTGGTGTAAGGGATGGTGCACCAACCGAGTTACCCGGCCAGGGCCCAAATATAATTCTTGACAAGCAAAAATTCTGGTTAAAGTTAAACTGAATGGGTTATATTCAGAGTCAGAAGGCCTACATTTTTAGAGAGAGGGAGAGAGAGAGAGAAACGATCAATTGCCTTTCTCACACACCCCCTCTGGGGATCGAACCCACAATTGGGGCATGTGCTCTGACTGGGAATCAAACCAGCAACCTTTTGGTGTATAGGATGACACTCAACCAACGGAGCCACATCCGCCAGGCCAGGCAGCCTAAATTTTTTAAAGGAAAGATACATTCTGCCCTTTTTTCTTGTTAAGAGATTGGGCAGCACAAACAGTAAGACAAATGAATCTCTTTATAATTAGCCCAGCATGGGCAGCTTCTAGCCTGTGCCTGGCTTGGTCATCCGTTGTGAATGTATCTTGAAGCACTTAAGCCGCCCTTCTGTGTATTGGTGAATTAGCAATGCAGTGTGTCCAGAGTCACCTTCCCCTCAAGGGTCTAACCTGCTCACGTGGTTTTCATTTTAGTTTTTAGTGGAAGTATCCATTGGCAGCTTTAACCATGGTTTTAGACCAGGGGTGGGCAAACTTTTTGACTCGAGGCCACAATGGGTTCTTAAACTGGACCGGAGGGCCGGAACAAAAACATGGATGGAGTGTTTGTGTGAACTAATATAAATTCAAAGTAAACATCATTACATAAAAGGGTACGGTCTTCTTTTTTTTTTAGTTTTATTCATTTCTAACAGGCCGGATCCGGCCCGCGGGCCGTAGTTTGCCCACGGCTGTTTTAGACTATGTTTCAAGCCTCAGAGTTTTAAACTTTACCTGTTCTTTCTTGAAGCTAAAAGGGGCTTTTGGAGTTAAGATCTTCACATCTGCTAACATGATCTCCGCTATTCAAACTGATTATAAAGCACATGAAATTTGACTGTTCTTTAATGAAGTCAGACTTACAGATGGAGAGTTGCTTCCAATGATCTCAAGTACTACAGCCTCAGCACCTGATGAAACAGCCGAGTGTCCGGGAGATTGTGAGCTTGTTCCCAGGGCACTGCAGTCCGTCAGTGTGAGGACTGTTAGCTGGTCGATGGGCTGCGGCCTCCCACGTGCAGATAGTTTGTTTTAAGACAGGGCTGTTTCTGAAAATTTGGCGTGAAATTAACAAATTTAACAGGGGAATTGCTTAAAGGTGTCCTATGAAGAAGTTACTCCTTTTGGTGTATGAATATTTCCCGCCCAATCTTTATCCAGTTTGGGTGGCTCTGCTTTTCGTAGCTTGCCTTTTCTTTGAGTTATAACTGTACTCTGGTGGGGAGACTTACCACCCCGCCTGAGGTCCTAGGGAGTGAGTTTAGTTAGAGCAGTACTATGGGGTTGCCAACAGGGTGTCTGTCCGTTCATTCCAGGCTTGGGGGGAGTTGAAAAGGGACAGGTGGAACTCTCGTGCCGACAAAGCAGGGGTGTAGGCTGTCTGGTTGAAATACTGTCAGTGGGTTGAGAGAGTTACATTTCAGAACTCTGAATCTTATGTGTATTTATAAGGTAAAGAATTGCTTACTTCGCCATCATGAAATCCTGTTATTTTCACAGGAAGATCCTGCAAAATAGTCGCATTAGAGGATGTAAGAGGCTGTGGTGGCCTTGAGGCATTTCAGACTTCATCAGTTTGTCACTTGGCTAACAGACTGAGAGGGTTTAGGGTATTTGGTTTTGGTATTAGATAGAATATAAAAATCAGTTAAGTCTTTTCAAGACTGACTTAGATTTGTACTTTAATGTGTGAAAGGAAAGGGAATATCAAACTTGTTTATACAAAAATAACACTGTATAGAACAGTGATGGCGAACCTATGACACACGTGTCAGAGGTGACACGCGAACTCGTTTTTTTGGTTGATTTTTCTTTGTTAAATGGCATTTAAATATATAAAATAAATATCAAAAATATAAGTCTTTGTTTCACTATGGTTGCAAATATCAAAAAATTTCTATATGTGCCACGGCACCAAAGTTAAGTTAGGGTTTTTCAAAATGCTGACACGCGAGCTCAAAAGGTTCGCCATCACTGGTATAGAAAATAAGTCTGTGTTGTGTGTACTGATATGTAGTTTGTTTACCCAATGCCTGTGCATCTTTGTGTTCCACTTTGAATTTTTGTATGTTTACATATTACATTTTTTGAAATAAAAAGAACAGGCATCTAAAAACTTAAGGTTATAAAAGGAAGATTTAAAAAAAAAGTTTGCCATCTCATTAGGTGGTGTGATAATGCTTCGTGTTTAAATGATAACTGTTAAGAATAACAGCACTAGCTGGTTTGGCTCAGTGGATAGAGGGTCGGCCTGTGGACTGAAGGGTCCCGGGTTCAATTCCGGTCAAGGGCACGTGCCCAGGTTGCAGGCTCGATTCCCAGTAGGGGGTGTGCAGGAGGCAACCAATCAATGATTCTCTCTCATCCTTGATATTTCTCTCTCCCTTTCCCTTCTTCTCTGAAATTAATAAAAATATATTTTAAAAAATAACAACACATTTTGCTTGGAATATCCCACCATCCAGAAAAATGGCTGCTTTTCTCAATTGCACACATGTACATAGTGTTCATTATTAGATTGTAAGCTCCTCAAGGGCAGGAACTGTCTGTTCCGTCTTGGTACCTCCAGCAGCACCAAAGGGCAAGTGCCTCCTTGCACAGGAAGGAAGGTGCTCATGGTATGTAGAGTGAGTGAGGAACTTCCTACCCCTTTAAGATGGAGCATGGTTCACTTTTCCCAGAGTGTTCAAAACTGCAAAGGACCTCATGACTAAAGAGGGTCGACTTCTTTCTTGGGTTTGAACTGAGCTTCTTGGGTTGAACCAGACCGTGCCATATCCTCAGCACCATTCAGCCTTCCTTTCCTGAACATAATGCACCAGTGTCCTGTGTTTTTATGTCATGTTAGGGCAGAGGTTTCTGGGAAAGTTTGAAGTGGGGCAGATTATAGAGAAAATGTAATAGAAATTTTGGAGGGTGTTTGTCAATGTGTAGCCCTGTTATTACTAAAGAAGGTGTAACTGACCCTCTGTCCTTACCAGTCAACTGCTGGCCAGCTCTCTAGCTAAGGAAACACCACTGGTTTTTAGCTTTTCTCCATTTTGGTTTCTCCTGTTGCTCATCTGATTCTAGTCCTTAGAGTCTAATAAAGTTGCTGTGAATATCAAGTGCGGTACATAATGGCAGTTTTGTAAAAATGTGATGAAGTAACCTCAAATGTATTGTGTTTTGTACGCAGAGCCACTAGTATTGTTATCGCAGCCAACTTTTTATTCAAAATAAATAACAGAATTATTTGTGTAAAAAAAAAAAAAAGACATAGTGAGACTTACAGCATTTATCACATTAACCTGGCCTGTACTTATTGTAAACATTTCCTCATATTTTGGGGAAAAAACAACTGAAATTATATTCTAATACTATTCCAACAATGGAAAATTTCTTTTCTAGTGAAAGACTGTATGTATCTTAAGAACATATACAAACACTCTTGATGCAAAATTACATGAACAGTGAGTGAGGTGTCCTGGCATATTAACTTATTACCATGGTACACAAGATAACATCTTTAATTTTAATTTTTGAAGTTGGTCCTTACAGGGTCTGTGTTGATAGCAACAAAATTTCCATGGAGAAGTTTTTGCTTTGGTGTAAGTCTGTAGCTTGCACCCTAAATTATATGAGGCCCATATCAACGAGGTAACATTTCTGTTGTCCTTTGTGATACTCGCAGAGTATGCCCAGCCGCTTGTGGGAGGAATTGTTGGCACACTTCATCAGAGGTCGACCTTCAAACCAGAAGAAGGAAAAGAAACAGGCTATGCTGACCTAGATCCTTACAACTCCCCGATGCAAGAAGTCTATCACGCCTACGCCGAACCACTCCCAATTACGGGGCCTGAGTATGCAACCCCCATTGTCATGGATATCTCGGGGCACACCCCAGCTTCAGTTGGTCTACCCTCAACGTCCACTTTCAAAGCTACAGGGAACCAGCCTCCTCCTTTAGTGGGAACATACAACACTCTTCTCGCCAGGACTGACAGCTGCTCCTCAGCCCGGGCCCAGTATGATACCCCAAAAGGTGGGAAGCCAGGTCCAAGTGCCCCAGAGGAATTGGTGTACCAGGTGCCACAGAGCACACAGGAGGTGTCAGGAACAGGGGGGGATGGCGACAGTGATGTTTTTAAAGAAATTATTTGAAGGTGATGCTGCTTTTTACAAAGCATCGTTTTAAAGCACATGGCCTTTTTTTTTCTATTAGTGGTAGTAATATATAGAATGTATTACATATCTGTCACGGATGTAGTGGGGGAAGTGTGATGACCGAGGTACAGGAAACTACTAATCTTGCCATCTTGCTTTAGAAGTGTTGTTGTAGCAGTTACTGCTTGCCTGTTAAATTTCGAACATCCTGTTTGTTACTACTGTAAAACACTATTTTTAATACAGAAAAAGCTCCCTACTATGCACTTCAAAGAAATTAAAAATCACTGAAAGTATTTATTACCAATGCTGCAGGTACATTTGATAAACTCAATAAGGCTTTGTAAGCCTGACTGGCAATAATGCATGGTACTGTTCTTGAAATGTCTAATGGCTTGAAATTCTGCTTTGTGTGAAGGTGGGTACTATCATGATTTCCTCCTCTTCTATTCCTGTATTCCTTTCTGGGTTTAAAAAAATAATAATTAGTGATACATAATCATTGTTTTGATTGCAGTCATACACACGTATCCATTTTTCCTTAAGAAGAGTACAGGTGAGAAACTCCGATTTAATGAGCAGGGTGATTGTCACTTTTTGACACTCAGGTGCTTTGACACCCACGGTACATGACTTGGCCTGGTCTCTGCTTATTCCGCCTGGGGCCTTGATGGCCAGCCCGTTCTTGTGTTTGTAAAATGTTTTTGAGTTTTTTCAGTGGGTTATACCTGCTCTATCAAACTTCATGAATTCAGATCCTCTAATGTGTTTAAGTTTACTTCTCACTGTAGAAACAGGAACTTTGCAATTTAAAAAAGCTATAAAAGAGATCCTCTCTAAAAAAGCGATGAAAGAGGTACTCCTCCCCTCCAACTTTATTTGCAATGGGATTTTTTTCTAGGAGGGTTGTGAAGTTTACAGCTTCCAAGTAGACGCTGTAAACATGCCCCACTTATATTTATCACAGCAAAAGCAAAATCATTCTTCAGAAGTCCTGTAAATTACCTTTAAAAAAGATAACCAGAATTTGCCCCCTTTTAAAATATGTAGATTTTTTTTTTTAATCTCAAGGTATGTTTTGGGTTTTTTGTGTGTCTTTTAGTTTTCCAAAGCAAACTATAAACTCAGTGTGTTTGTGCCTCATCCGTGTGTGAGAGGGTGAGTAGTTCTTTATCTCATACGTAGGGAAGAGGTGTTATATCATCCTCACACGTGGCTATTCATGTGTCTTTTTTTATTCCCCTGGGCACCTTGTTACCATTTACCCAGAACAGAGCTAAGTTTAGATGGGTGAAATAGAAATCATCTGTAGTTTATCAGCCTAGAGTGTAAAAACCATGATTAAAAGTCTTTAGGCTGGCAACACAACATAAGCTGCCCATGTGATTAAAGTTTGAAATCCCTTCTATATACTTTAATTTGTAGTCTTAATGGAAATGTACTTTTCCATTCCATCAAGTCCTACTCATTTCTATTGGCCTGGGCCACCAGATTATGATGTTGCCAGAACTTGCTAAATTTGAAGGTGAACAGTCTTCATTTTGTTGCTTCCACAAGTATATCAGTAATCTAAAACATTGCTTCCAGATAGAACTGTTTATTTCTACAGCCTCCCGCCCTCTCCTTGTATGATCTTGTTGGTTTTATTTTCATTTTCTTTTCCTTTTCCATACATACTATGAAGCATAATTTTATTCATTGAAAACCCAATCCATATTTTGTTTCAAAATATTTGAAACAAAAAGCACAGGTGTTGAACTTTTATTAGAACATATGAATGTGTAAAGCACATGTATTAATGCAGCCATCCCCTTTCAGGTGGGAAGAGAGTAAACCAATCGCTTTATTTTTTTATTCATCCTTAGTACAGAGAGAATATACCTTTCCTAGAATCATATACCTTTTTGAAGCTTTAAGAGAAATGTTTTCAATAACTATTTTGTTTTCCCAAAGATGCTTGCTATTTTTGTGTAACTGTGTGCACCTCCTTTTCCCATGAAACCTTTTTTTTTTGAGAAGCAAATGTTTTCTTAAATGATGCATGTTTTAAGACTTGATTCAAAATGCCACTGTGCTGTCCTTGAATTGCCAATGATTCTTACAAATATCTAGTTTTTACTACTTTTATATATTTTACTTTCAAAATGAAGAGCTGAGCCTGATACAAAGGGTTGTTCTGGTTTTGTACTTTTTCTTTTAGTTTGTTTTCATAGTAGAGTTTTGGGGTTTGGGTTTTGTTTGTTTTTTTAACTACATTTTTATGTCTGATATATATATACAGCTTTGGAGACAATCAAGTAACAACTGAAAATGTGAAAAGTAGCCATTTTTTACAAAAATGTCCTTGAATTTTTATTCTTTGCTTGAAATATGTAAAAGACTTAAGTCACTGTGGTTTATTGGTTTAAATTTTTTTCCTATTAATACAATTCTAAAAATAGAATCAAACAGTGGTGCAGCAAGTGTGGCCATTACATGTTTTGTAAAATTACACTGACTTCGCTGTTACTTGATCTTAGGAACCAGCACAGTTAGAGGTAAGATATTGTGAATGCTGACTTATATTTTATTAAAAGCTGTAAATCTAAATAGATCCTATTGTATGCAGGGTCTAGTCCAGTTATTTAAGTTCATGTTTCACTATTTGCACTTTGCATTGAACAATGGGTTTAGTTTGCTGACGAAATGGTTCGAGTAGAGAATTTATACAGTAATTGAAATTATGACATTGTGTATGTACTTGCCCTTCCTCCCACAGCAGGGAGCAGAAAGTGAGCTCATCTAAATATGAATGCAGCTCTAATTGTATGGAAAGTGGTAAAGCTTTAAGGTACTTGCCTTGACTCCACATTGTCACCTGGAGAGCAGGATGGCTATAAAAGCACCATGTCAGGTGATATGATTAAAAAGAACTAACAGACTATTCTTTCCAGACCTTTTTAAGAGAAAATTAATGAAGAACAAATTACCTATTTGCTTTGCCTTTTAGTTCTGAACTTGAAGTCCCTAAACTGCAAAATCTGAAGAGTTGGATGGTTATTAAAGTACTTTTTAGGTCAAGTGTGGTACCAATTCTCATTTAGTCACACCAACTTGTGGCTAATTTCTTCATTTCTTTCTCTTTTTTCTTTTTTTTTTTCTTTTTTTTGACACTGGGAAGGGTGGAAACAAAACACGTATTGAAATACATATTGGAAACAAAAATGGCTTAAGTGTCAGTGAAATTCTCCCAGAATGTACTTTTCTTACCTCGGCATGTACTGTAGTCACTCAGTATTTGTATATGTTGCTAGAATTTAGATTGTATAAATAGTGAGATTTTAATGTGTTCATGTGTTTTTAATAAATTGTATATATGTGTCTTGCTCAGATTTTTTTTTTTTTTTTTTTTTTGGCTTAACTAAAACCACCTTGAGGTTTATAGCCTTTTCTTATACTACACAAAATGCCAGATTCCTAAATTTGAACATCAGTCAGAAAATTTAATGGCCAATGTTATACCATTCACAGTAACATTAGGGAATGCCACCATTGGTTTTGACTTTGATTTTTTCTGTAGCCACAGTATCCTTTTTGAAGCCGGAGTGACTCCAGCAGCCCCGCTGCAACCTCCGGCTGTGCAGTGGCAGGGAAAGGACACTGAACATGGGGACCTAGGATGGCTCCTGCCTTTTCCACCTCAACGTTATTAGAAGAATCAGATGAAAGTGGTCCTGTGCAAACGTATGCTATTAACAGGACATCATCCATATTTAATGTCTAGATCTGGGTTAAATCTACTACTAGTTTTCTCCCCCTCCCCTGCTTTCTAAGTACCTTATTTATTCCTATTTCTGGTCTACTATTCCACCCTTTCAACACTTTCTTTTGAGAGGCAGGTTGATTGTCAGTGACATCAATGTCTCCCAGTGGTAATTATTCAAATAATTCTTGCCTGGTCGTAGCTCAGTGGTTGAGCATCGACCTATGAACCAGGAGGTCGAAGGTTCAATTCCCTGTCAGGGCACATGCCCAGGTTGCAGGCTGAGGTCCCAATAGGAGGCGGCCAATCAATGATTCTCTCTCATCATTGATGTTTCTATGTCCCTCACCCTTCCTCTCTGAAATCAATAAAAATATGTATTTTTTAAAAAGGTACTAATTCTTCAACTCATACCTCTTTTGATAGCTTTTTATTCCATCATTCTTATACCTTCTGTTCTCTTCCTTTCTCCTTCACCACTTACCCTACCCCACCATAGCCGTTAGTTATATTCATTATGGAAAGGGAGACCAGCTCACCACAGTTGTAGGACTGGCTTCTTTGCATCAGTAGGATTCTTCACTGGAGTACCCTAGTCAGGTGAGCTTTCCATGTGAAGATGAGAGATGAAAATACCATCTAAATCCAAGAACACCTTGACTCTTCCTACAGATTTACTTGTGTCTTTTTCATCTTTCCTAATTTACTTCAAATAATAAAGTTTTAAAAGTTAATGAATTAAACCAGGCAAAACAAAGTTTAAGAATTTTCTCCTTGAGCATGTCTTACTCAGCTTTCTTTGTATAAACTTTGTAAAAAATTGCGTCAACATAATGCAGTCACCAGACTGGTAATTACACTCTTTGGTTACTCGTCTAGATAAACTTAAAAACAAAAAATTCCATCTTCATTCTACCTAATTACTCATCATAATCGTGATTTACTTAATCGCAAGGGGGGAGCCTAATTATACCAGTATGACCTTAGATTTCTATAACAGTCCACTCTACTGTATTCAGAGCTGGTTTAAACTTCATGTTCCTTAATTAGAACAAAAAGACACTAAAGTCAGCCAGATATAGACCTGGCATGCTTCCGGTTTGCCACATCAAAGCACAACCACATGCCAATTCCCCACCATTTTATAGTAGCCAAGTATGTCATTTTGCATTCAAATTTGTTGCCGTCAATTTAAGTCCCCTTAAATAGGAAGACACATCCTTTCAAAAGTCTAAAATAAAAAACTAAAAATATTTTTAAAAACACAATGCAATTACAACTTTAGCCGGACATGGTAACTCAGTATATGTTGGTTTTCATAAATTAAATATATTTACAGAAATTAAGCTGGTGGTTATGAAATCACCAGGCAGCGACAGGCTTAATATACATAATTTCTTGACAAGTACATCCAACGTTTTTTAAAATAAACTATAAATTGCCAGTATAAAAATAAAACTAATACTGTCAGCATTATCTTCTCTGTCTGTAGGGTCAATCTTGAGTCAAATTGATTACAAAGTTCTTTTTTATAATGTCCTTCAAAAAGAGCTGCTCTGCAGTCACGTTGTGATATGCATTCTAAAAGATAAAAACAAACTAAAATCACTGTTTATCCCGATCTCAACAACAGCAATAGAATGTGCTGTATCTAAAAAGCTTCTGAATGAAAACTTCAAGTATAACAAGTGTCATGGACTTGGGTTAACCTTTCTAATTTATTTGTCTTTGCTTACTGTTACGCCAGAGCTTTCCCTAAAACCCACTCTTTCCACTCAACCCAGCACATAGGTAAGAGGCTCCCTCACATCATCTCCTGGTCTGCTGAGCCGTGGTGGAAGTCTAGAAACCAAAATTGTAAATCCAAAAGGGTTGATCATTGTAATAAATGCATCACCAGGAAGGCAGGTTTTAAAAAACTGTTCTATTCTAATGACAGGTATCCTAATTTTAGGAAGGTGTCTTAATGTGTGGTTCTTTAGGGACTAAAAATGCCAAGTGTGCTACAGGGAAATTAGGGCTGAGGAGAAGTGAGCCTGAAGTCTGTCCTCGGCAACTAAAGTCTGTCACACGTTGTGGGGAAGATACAACAAGTCAGTATCAAGATCTACCCTGACATAACACTGGGAGATGATGATTTCAGGGGACTGGGATTTCATGGGATATAGCCATATACATTATAGCAAATCATATTTCAGTATTAAAAATGTACAGATAACATTTTAATCCTGTCACTTATGCTGTGCCACTAATCTAAATTAGAATTTGGAAAATAGAAAACTCCTCCCCAGTCAATTAAAGTAAAAATCTGAAGGATCCAATCTGCCACTGATCCCTAATTCAAGAGAAGCATGAGCTAGTGTCAAAGATGACAACCTTTCTGACCATAAAGATTATTTCATGGGGTTAAAATATTATAGACCTTGTCTACTTAACTGGAAAAAAAATACATGAAAATTATTACTGTGGACATGGCAATGCTTTTAGGTGAATGTGTAATATCTCCAACAGTAGGCTATGTGTATATTTAAATCATGCAAATAGGATACAGTATCTAAGATGAGGCTTGGTCCCTGTATGGGTTGTCAGTACTTTACAATAACGGAGATTCTCCCAAGAGTCTGAGGCCCACAGATTGGGAATCGCTGTAGTAGAGAATGCTGCACTTCATTTTGGCATTTGGTAGCTCTGTAACCCCTATCAAGCCCTCAATCTCTCAAAAGCTCTTCGCTATGTAAAATGATAGGGTGAGGAGAGAAAATAGGCTTTCCAATTCTAAAAAAATCAATGATTTTAACAAATAATCTGTATTACCTTGTTCATCAAGGACATGGTGGCATTCCCATAGTAGTGCAAAGGGCTCTGGAGGTCAGAAAAGTTGTATCTAAAGCCAGCAAGGTGGACTTCATGACATATATGAAAGGCCAAGGTGATGGCAATAATTCCTGTCGTCGGGTGTTTGGGTTTCTGGGGAAAGAAGGAAAATTTTTCTTTAAAAATCCAAATGAGATATTTGTTCCCAAGGCATATTTGGGAGGCCTAATCTTATGAATCTTATAATTCAACTAGTTCTAGGAAAAGGCTAACTAACTTTAACCAAGTTACTGCAGTGATGAACTATACTAGTAAGTACCTGACTAGAAAACAAGGATTCCAGATATATACAGAGTGTCCTCACAATCTCAACCGGATCCTCATTAATTTACAAACAGATTCTACATCCCCTGCACATGTGCAACTACTAAGAAAAGTGCTGTAACAGCTGTTTGACAGGAGGATCTTGGCAATCGAAATTGATGGCCTTCAAAGGAATAAACAACATATATCAACAACTCAAGATTTCCTTTCGGTTAAATGTTTTTCACAGGTCCCACGGACATTATATGTGATTAATTATGATTTTGAGGAAAAGAAAACAAAGAAACAGTAAAATCAAGTAAACAGCAGAAGGCAAAGAAAGCCTGACAGACGTTTGTGTAAGTTTTTCTTTGCCCCAGGCACTATGGTGACCATCATGTGCTGGAAAAGGAAGTTAATGGTTGGGTTAAAACCTAGGAGTCACCCAACTCACTGATCCATCACGGTTTCTGGCTCTTGTGCCTCTTAATGCCATGTACTTCCTTTCACCACTCCTTAGAGTCCTTCATCGTTATCATAATTTCCTTATGGGGACAGACAATTCTCCTGCACCTGTCACCCACAGAACCTACATTATCTCCTGACAATCTTAATCCTGGATAAAGCCACACCCAGGCAGCAGAATGGGCATGAGAAAACATACTTGCCTGGTTGCATGTTACATTTGAATTTAACAGTTCCCCTGAATGAATTTCCATTCCTGCTCTCCAAGATGACAATTTTATACCTCTCTATGCTCCAACAGCCCTAGCCTTCCTACTTCAACAATTGAATCCTCATTTTTCTAAGAAAACGATCAATCACACAAAAACTACATCATCTTCCCAACTCCAAATCTACCTTCATCTTTACCCAGATTTTCAGGATTCACTTCTCTTACAGGGATCAGATGTCCTGTTTCTATCTACAGCCAACTTCTCCACGAGGGCACCATACCACATCTCTCAACTAGTTTGCTTTTATAGTTACCCACTTTCTGCCCTCATTACCAATATTTTACTGAATCATTTCCTTCACCATACAAACATTATCTTAAAAAACAAACAAAAACTATCCTTGATCTTACGTTCCAATCATTTTTCTGCTGCTTTTTCTAGCAAAACCCTATTAGAGATTTGCCTCTGTTGCTGTGTCCCATGTTTTCTTTAATCCATTTCAAACAGGTTTTCTTCCTTTCTTATTCTTCACTCATATGACCTCCATGTTTCCAGAACCAGGGTTTATTGTTTGTGCTCAACCTCTGAACGGCCTCTGACATGGGTGACCTTTAAAATGCAGCTGTGTCCTCTCCTCATTTGGCTTCTAGGACACCATGTTCTACCAGAACTTTAACGTAGTTACAACTAGTTCCAGTACCATCTCTAAGTAAAACCAAGGTCTTCCTCTGCTTTTGGAGTTAGGAGGCCACCTAAAGTAAAAGAGGTAATGCCCTGGCCAGTGTTGCTCAGTTGGTGGTGTCCTGTGCACCAAAAGGTTGCTAGTTCAAGTCCCAGTCAGGGCGCATACATGGGTTAAGGGTTTGACGCCTCCCTCCCCCCGAGTAGGGGGCATGCAGGAGGCATCCAATCCAAGTTTTGCTCTCACACCAATGTTTCTCCCTCTCCCTTTCTCTAAAAATCAATAATTTAAAAAAATCTTTTTTTTAAAAAAAAAAAAGGTTAAACCTGATCATACCTTTCTTAGGAAAATTATCTCTTACCTTTTCACCTCAGAATTACGAGGAATCTGTGCTTTTCTCTCAATACCAAGAAATAGGGTTTAAACATAAGACATTTATGTTTTTTGACTTGGGAATTTCACTTTCAGGCATCTATCCTATAGAAATCATACAAGTGTGCAGAAAACCCCTATAAGCACATGCATTTTTATGTTACTTATGGAAGAGAAAGCTGGATACAAACCTAAATGTCTCTAAATAGAAGAATTATTAATTAGGTGGCTGGGGAAATAGCGAAACATTATTATCTATGGTATCATTGCAATTATATTGAACAAACAAAATGTGTATATGTTTTTAAATGCATAGGAAAGTCTAGAAGGACATAAAGCAAACAATCTTGGGAGATAATGTGAGTTATTGAGGGAGGAGAAGTATGTCCTTTTCAGAATATTTCTTTGTAAGTTATTTCATTTTTAGCATGTAATACTTTAGAATTGTTTTTCTCATGCTTAAAGAAAAGGTACACGAGGTGTGTTTCTTGGGACTGTCCCTTTGGGATTACCAAAAGAGAAAGAAAAACACTCACTTTAGCTGTGATAGCATGTACACAAGTGACTCAAGCTTCAAATGAAAAACATCTCCGCCACTGTACGGATCTAGTCATTGTTTTCTAGATTATAAACAAATAGGCCTGCAAAAGTCACAGTCAATGAGATTTCTCTTAACTAAAGAATTGGGAGTTTTAAGAACTGTCAATATTGCTGTAACTACCATTTGCTGAGAATTCAGTGCCCATGTCTCCTTCGTGACTGCAGAAATATTTCTGGGCTACCTTACTGCCCTTCCTCGCCTTTCCTCTGGTTTTCCTGTGGGATTTCTATGGCAAATTGCTTCAGACCACTCCTTTTGCTGAAAGCCATGCACTGTCCTGAAACTAGTCCTGCTGCTCAGAACACAGCCTGCCTCTCAGCCCCTGCCCTCCCGCCCCCACCCACCCCACCCCCGCCCGCTGTAGAACACTGAAGAGTTGCAAGAGATAAGCCACCTGGGCATGCAGATGGAGACCCCAAAAGGGCCCCCGCAAGGGCAGAACAAAACCTTCACTAAAGGTTCTTGTTCTTGCAAACTGAAAAACATGAAGATAATATCCACAGGTACCTAATTTTACTGACTCAGACGAGACCCCTAAGATTCCCCTGTTCTACTCCAGCCAGATCCTTAGTTTGAAAGTACTAAGAAAAATACATACCTGGTTTTTGGGAAACACTTTTGGGAAATTAAGCAGTTCATAAGCTGCTGTTCTGATAATGAAAGGATCTAAGATTCTGATTTGATATGGTTTATAGATCAGGTTTAAGGCTGGTTTTTTCCAAAAACCATTAGTGTTCTGAAATAAAGCAAGAATATAGAAAATAAAACATTGTGGTTGTCTTTTGTTACAGAAAAAAAAATTAAGGTAATCAGAAGGGAGATCAGTCTTGCCAACTTACTATTTTGCCACCCATCAACAATTCCCACAGCCACTTTAAATCGTGCGGCTTAAAAGCAGTGAGAATCGCTGTGGTGTTAGGATCATTGTGTTTGGGATCTGAAAAAACAGATTCTGGATAAAAAAGTCGGAAGGTTGTTCTTCTCCCAACTTCCTCTTCATGTCCTAAAACAGGACCATTATTCATTCTGTGGACAGAAAAACACAAGATATGTAGACCAAGTGCAGTATGAGCCGTTTCCACCAGCTCCCAGAGGTATCTGTCCGACAAACATCTGCCATGTGTCCAGTGCTCTAATGGCACAAGGCAATCAATCATTCACATATAAGGGCCAAGGAAATAACTCCCTTTCATGAAACAGCTGCTTGATCAAAGCAGAAACTTGCAGTTGTATTTGAAAATTGGTTGTGGCATTACTGGTAATTCAGTCTTACTCCAGGGACACTGGAGGCAAATAAAACATGGGAACATAAGAACCACAATACTAGGGTTAAAAAAGAACTTGAAAGACATCCCAACAAAACACCTTGGATATACAGATAAGAGACCTGAGGTCCAGAGAAAGTTACTTGCCCGAGGTGACACAGTCATTTAGCCCGTGGGCATGTGTCTAAGTGCCTGACAGGCAAGAATCACATTTAAGGTGAAGACCCATCAAAACTGTTATGCTCTGAAATAAAGTAACAATATAAAATTGCTGTATGATACCCAACCACAACCAAATGAATGTCTATTGCTAGAATGAACTAAAGAACCACAAAGAATTGGTTGGGTTTGTGTGTGCTCAAAGCGAAGGTTAGACATGCACTATTTATGCAGACACTATGAAGGCATGCTATTAAGAGGAATGCTTTGTTTCCTAAACAGTGTGCCCTAGGAGAATAAATACTCTTTTACCCTTTGTTACTGTCTGTGTAATAAGACAGTCTTAACACCTGAAATGACTTCGGAATGTTGTGCCCAGGGCATTTTCCCACAAGGGCTTGCTGTAGTTCTAGGTGATCAGGTTTTAGACCAGCGGTTCTCAACCTGTGGGTCGCGACCCCTTTGGGGGTCAAACGACCCTTTTACAGGAGTCGCCTAAGACCATCGAAAAACACATATATAATTACATATTGTTTTTGTGATTAATCACTATGCTTTAATTACGTTCAATTTGTAACAATGAAAATACATCCTGCATATCAGATATTTACATTACGATTCATAACAGTAGCAAAATTACAGTTACGAAGTAGCAACGAAAATAATTGTATGGTTGGGGGTCACCACAACATGAGGAACTGTATTAAAGGGTCGCGGCATTAGGAAGGTTGAGAACCACTGTTTTAGACAATTATAGGTAAAGAAATGTGTGTTTCAAAATTGTTTTGTGGGTAACTTTTCACAGCTTCCTCAAAATAGGTAAGAAACAGAAAATAAGGTGACATCGCTTGCAAAAGCCCTCAGCAGTTTGTGACCCAGCAAAACCCCCAGGCATTGCCAGGCCATCCCAGTGCACTGCCCATGGGAAGCGTTCCACTCTTCAAAATACTATTCACAGCCATCCAACACACACAAGCTTACTCCAGGGTGATGGCCTTCCACTGACCTTTCAATGAGGGAAACAAAAATGTCCTGCTTTTCCCACCACTCCCTCTATGGGACTCTTGGTAGCTGTAAACCACAATCCCAGTTGTCCTTTCCATTATGAATGACTAACAACACCTGTGCTTTGGACCCCATTCCCCTTTCTTTCCCACACCAACCTCTTCATTTCCATCAGTATACCGGTGTGCTGTAGAACCTCCTGTCTTTATAAAAGAAAACCACACAGGGAATCCTCCTCTGATTCCATAACCATCCCTGGCTACTTCATTTTTCAACTTCAGGGCAAAAGTCCTCAAGCGTTGCCTATACTGGTTTCTCCACTTTCTCACCTGTCATTTTCTCCTCAACCCATTCCCATTGGGCTTCCCCCCACTTCAATCTGCTTTGTCAAGCATGTCAGTGAGCTTGAGGCTGCCTGTCCAGGGTGAACTCTGTTTTTATCTTGCTTGGCCTCTCACCAGGTTTGGACATGGTGGTCCCTCCCTCTGTCTTAAAACACTGTGCTCTCTTGGCTTCTGTGATCTCCTGACTCTTCCTACCTCACTGGTGGGTCTTCTCCATCTCTTCTACTCACTCTTTTTCTTTGTACAACCTCTTAACTGTTAAGCTCCATAAGGCTCAGTGCTGGGCCCTCTTTTCTCTCTCAGTCTCTCCCCGGGAAATCTCACCGGCTCCATGGTTTCAGTACAGCTTATCAGCTCATCAAGACTTACAATGTTTAGCCAACTGCCTACTGGACTTGCCCGCTACAAACTTAATATGTTCATACAGAAATCTTGATTCTCCTCTAAGCCTGTTTCTACCCTAGTCTTCCCCAACTCAATAAATGGTACCACTATCCAGCCAGTCTCTTAAGGTGAAAACCTAGGAGGAGGGATCCCTGGTTCCTTTATTCCCATCTCTGCGCATATCTAATACATTAACAAATCCTGATAACACTGCCTCTAAAACATGTTTCAGTCTATCCAACCTCTTACCTCCTCTGCCAAGACAACCCTGATCCAAATCCGCATCATCTACCTGAATACAGCAACTGCCTGGCCTCTTCATTTCCACCCTTGTCCCTCACATTCCAGTGGACAGGCCTTTGCCAGACTCTTAAAGATAACCAAGTCAAATTGCTCTCTTGCTTAAAAATCTTCAAACATTTCCTGTTGTACTTAAAGTAAAATCTAAGCTCTCATCCTAGTTTACAAAGTCTAATCCCAGCTTACATAGCCTGCTCCTTGCCCACCTCTTTAGCTTCCAATTGCACCCCCTTCCCCAGCCCGCTGCCCTTCCACCTCACTGGTTTTCTTACTCCTTCTCTCAAACCCAGGATCATATCCTCCCGAGGGCCTGCGGTAAACATTCTCTCTGCTCGCACTGCCTTTCCCCGAGCTTCATGTGGCTGGCACTGACGGTTCACTCAGTCCAGCTTAGATGTCTCCTCCTCAAAGTGCTCATCCATCTTAAAGTAGCCACTCAGTCATTCTCTATCTATTTTTAATTGTATGTATGGCATTTATTATTGTATTTCCTTATTCAATTACTTTTGTCTGCCCCTCATTAGAATGTATGCTCCACAGAGAAGGAGAGCCTTATTTATTTACTGCTGTATCCCCCGGGGCCAGGACTGCCTGGCATATGAAGGGGACTTAATAAGCATGTGCTAAGTGAATGACCTGAAGTCTCTAGCCAACAACTGAGAAAAAAGGTTATGTAATGTACTTAAAAATATCAAAGCAACTCCTCCGCCTTTTAAAACACAGCTGTACTCAAGCAGGAAGCCACGCTCTTTTGAAACAATTCCAGTTTAGCAACTGAGAAATATATTTACCTTATTATTACATCATAGGAGTCAATTCTTTCTCCTAACGTCTTGTTCTTCAAAACTCCTCCATTACCAACCACCACGCACCTTTTACATGGCACACTGTTGGGCAGACAGACAAGTGAGAGATTAAGCCATCTGTGACAGAGTGAGTGACTCCCACACCCATTCATACTTTCAGAAACCCAAAGCCACATTTTACTTGTTGCACAAGTAGAAAAAGAACCGGCTGTGACATATAGAGGTCTAAGGATGTAATAGAAAGATACAAGATTCGAGAATAACATTGCATAGGAAGTACATCATCATTAGCAACTACTAGTATTAACCCATATACATTCCCTCATTTGAATCTCATAACAACTCTTAGAGATAAGTAAGCCTGACAGTTCCATTTAACAAAGAAAGAGGTTCAGAAAACTAACATTTCAAAGTCATACTCCAAAGAGATAGAGAACTTTGGATGGAATTTGGATACAGATCTTGGAACCACAAAAACCCCCTTTGACACAGGATTTTGCATGTTAATACTGATGCAAGTGTGTTTATGTTACCCATGTATACATTTTTTGTCCTTTATTTTTTTCTGTGTCCTTGGGATTTTTTTTCTTTATTGATTAAGGTATTACATATGTATCCTTATCCCCCCATTGCCTCCCACCTCCCTGCTCATGCCCTCACCCCGCTAGTGTCTGTGTCCATTGGTAATGCTTATATGCACGTACACAAGTCCTTTGGTTGATCTCTCCCCCTTCCCCCACCGTTTCTGCCTTCCCTCTGAGGTTTGACGGTCTGATGGATGCTTCTCTGTCTCTGGATCTGTTTTTGTTCATCAGTTTATGTTGATCATTATATTCCACAAATGAGTGAGATCATGTGATATTTATCTTTCTCCAACTGACTTAGTTCGCTAAGCATAATACTCTCCAGGTCCATCCATGCTGTTGCAAATGGTAGAAGTTCCTTCCTTACAGCAGTGTAGTATTCCATTGTGTAGATGTACCACAGTTTTTTAATCCACTCATCTGCTGTTGGGCACTATTTTTTACCAGCATTACCCATTCCCCTGAGATTCTAGCTCTGGGTTCCTGCTATATCTTGTAAATGTGGAGATAGACAGAGGGATCAGATGAGGACAGTGCAGCTTCCTTGTACCTGCCCATGCTCACTTAAATTCCAAACATGTACTGGTCCTTGGAGCTTAACCAATACAAACTAAAAATTCACTCTCTGTTCCTGGCGAAGGGCTGTAAAGCAGGACATGAAGCCGGACTTCTGCTGCTGGCTGGGATCAGCTGAGGAGCACGTACTGTGTACCATCAGCTCTCAGCAAACAGCCTGGCCCATCTGTCTCCTGGCTCCCACCACCACCCAGCCAGACCTGGAGAAATGACAGAACAGATCGAGTCCTTCTCCTCTAGGGGACAAAGCTACCGAGGGGAAGACCAGTGAGACTGCCCTCATGACATGGAAATATAAAGAAAACATTTCTGCCCTGACCGGTTTGGCTCAGTGGATAGAGCGTCGGCCTGCGGACTCAAGGGTCGCAGGTTCGACTCCGGTCAAGGGCATGTACCTTGGTTGCAGGCACATCCCCAGCGGGGAGTGTGCAGGAGGCAGCTGATGGGTGTTTCTCTCTCATCGATGTTTCTAACTCTCTATCCCTCTCCCTTCCTCTCTGTAAAAAATCAATAAAATATATTTTTTAAAAAAAACATTTCCTCTAAGAACTAGGAAATCAGCAGACCAGATGAACTGGAATCTGTCAGGCCCTTAGGAAATTCATGAGTAGCAGAACTGCACAAATGCTTAGAGCAGTTAAACGCAGAGAATGCGGAAGTACAGGAACCACTGCAAAGAGCCAAACATTGGCCCTGTCAGGTTAAGAAGAAACAATGTACACATTCCTATATGCATGAGATTACCATTTTGACAGAATATATTTAGCTCATCTATTTTATGTGTTTAACACTACATATTTTAGTGTTATGTATATTTTTACATTTTAATTTGAAACTTAGTTCCCAAAGTTAAAGAGTCCAAATCAGTGTCTACTTTGTCACAAAAACAAATATTGCAGAGAGTATGGTGAGCGTGTCCAACAGGCTTGAGGACCTGCCCCAAACCTCCACCATGGGCATGTCACAATGCGTTCTAGAGATGTTTCTTCTAAAAATGTCTGTCTTTAACTGTGAAAGTAACATCTCCAGATGCTTTTCTATGCACACTTGACATCCATCCTAATTCCAGGAAGGCAACCTTATGCGCAGCAGGTGGAGGAGCTGGGAGCCCTGGCAAACAGAGCACTTCCCTCTCCAGGCATATGGCCATCGTGCTCGCCAGGCCCACCCCATGAGTGCTCTGTCGCAGGGGCAGTTCCCACACACAGGCTTATCTGGCCTTTCCTGCCATAACTTCCGGGTCAGCTTAATGCAAATTGGAGGCTGAATTTTAAAGCTGGCTCCACCACCACAGTGGAATGCTAAGCAGATGGGGCAATGGGGAGGAAGTGGCTAGGAAGGGACAGGATGGAAATAACAGCTCTGCTCCTGACAGATAACTCCCAGTGGGGTGGAGGAGGCTTCTCTACAGTTATGGTAGCTATACTAGCCCTGTCCTTTGAATGAAGGCTGGAGGCCACTTCCCTGTCAAAGGCCACCTAAGGCCAGGTGGCCCCGGGGCTACAGCTTCCATCCTGGCACGGGGATCCCAGCCTGACCTGACTCCATACCCAACATGCCAGGATAAGAACTCCAGGCCTCAGAGTTCTTATCCTGGAGTCTCAACAAAGGATTCCGACCCACAAACCTAGTCTCTGAAGCTGACGCCAGTAACAGGTTAACTCAGCTCAGTTCTAGACACAGCCGGTCACATAATCACTGCTCAGCAACGAACAGGCCAGCTGAGCCTCTGTGTTCACCGGAGTCCCTTCAGTGTTACCTGTAGTCTCAGACTGGGTTACAGCTGGTCATGGAGCCCAGAGCATGTGCGGCCAAGAGAGCCCCACGTAAGGAATACTACTACCTGTCATACTAATACGTCCCACCCCTGGTCCCCACTCAAGGCCCTGCACCTCCTCCCACACCACACCTTCCAGCCAAGACAAAATGGGGGAGTGGAGGGCTGCAGGCGAATCTTTCACTTTTCCTCCTGGTAAGGGATATTGCAAAGACCCACACATTTTCCTGGGGATTCTATATAACACTAAGAATGGTTTGGCGTTATCCTTAGGACTACCCTTTGGCAATATCTTTTTAAAATTGATTTTAGAGAGAGAGAGGAAGGGGAAGTGGGGAGAGAGAGAAACATTGATCAGTTGCCTCCTGTATGTGCCCAACCAGGGATCGAACACCCAATGTAGGGTACGTGCCCTGACCTGGAAACAAGCCCAAGGACCTTTTGTGATACGGAAGGTGCTCCAACCAAATGAGACACCGACCAGGGCTGGTACTAATGGCTTATCTACAGCTGGTGTTCACAGTGCCACCAAGACTTGTGCTATAAATATGTGCTATAGCAATGCATGGTCTAAACCACACACCTTGCAGCTCATTGCTTCCCTCTCCCCAGCAGATACCCATATCTGACTAAAGGAGTGATTTGTCCTCTCCTTGGTTTCATCCTGTTGGTCCAGGCTCCCGTTCTTCCTAGTCCTGAGGTGTGAAGCAATAGCTTGCAGTGTCCCTGGGGTGACTGTGTAACTCCACCACATTTAATTAGCACAGCCCTCATGCACAAATAGCTGCAGTGAATGTGAGCCTCTAGAGGCCAGAATGGTGTCACTTCTATTTCTATATCCTCCAACCTAAAGCATCTGACTCACAGGCTGTGCGTTTAGATACTGGTTTGGTTGTTACATTAAGTGTGGCGGTCATTTCCCGACTTTTGAGTCTGGAGAAGCAGAGAGCGGTTCCTCCTTTCCCCACCCTGGAAGCAGGTAGGGAAGAGCACAGGCCCCAAACTGCTCATCTGGAAAACAAACTCATTCCAGGGGGCCTGGACCTGCTAATGGGAAACCTGGAAAGCTGCTGACAGTGCAATGGTAAGAGGTTACATTCCCCCAGGTGAGAGGCATGTTCCTCATCAGGTCGGGCCGATCCAGGAGAGGCACTACCTCACGCAGAGGGAAACATCAACACCATCATGTAGAGCAGTGGTTCTCAACCTTCTGGCCCTTTAAACACAGTTCCTCATGTTGTGACTCAACCATAAAATTATTTTCATTGCTACTTCATAACTGTAATGTTGCTACTGTTATGAATCGTAATGTAAATATCTGATATGCAGGATGGTCTTAAGCAACTCCTGTGAAAGGGTCGTTCGACTGCCAAAAGGGTCGTGACCCACAGGCTGAGAACCGCTGAAATAGAGAAAGCGAACTTGAATTGCCCATTTCACATGATCTGTGGTCTGTCTTTTTTCTCTGCTTCCTGATACTCATTTTCCCCTCCAGCAGCATCATATGCATTCACATACATCACTCCATCTTCAACAACCTATGGCAGTTCCCACTGGTCCTATTCCCTCGTGCCTTGTCACCGAGACCTGCTTTCATGAGCCTGCCGATGGTTGGTCTACAGGTGGCCCTGTGACCCATCCCTGGGCAGTAAGAGATAAGGCAGTCTATTGGATGCCCTGGAAAAGATTTTACTCCCAGCAAGAGAATGACTGAGCAGAACCCTTTCCTTTTATTCACCCTTCCTTCCTGCTCAGATAACTCTGTGTAATGACATCAAGTTAGAGCAGCTGCTGTTTCTCGCAACGAACAGGGAAAGGCAGAGAGTGCCAGAGACGCTGCCACTCCCCAGCAGATATGATTATATGACTAAAGGAGTGCCCACACCCACAGCTACTCCATAGAGGTGCAGGCTGTCCACAGTCCAGCTGTACAATGCACCATTCAGGTACTGCATGTGTGAACTGGCACTCCCAGGAGCATGCAACCCAGTCTGTGCAGCCATAAGCAGGTCCCCCCCACCCCCGCCAGAGGAACCGCAAGCCTGCAGATCCAGGAACCACATACCTATGTGATGTGGGAGTTAAAGGTCTGCTTTGTTTACATCACGTTTACTCAGGAAGACTGTCACTTGCAGCCCCAAGAT